CCCCCGATCTCTCGCCGGGCCGCCCCCCCCCCCCTCCTCCTGCGCCTTGCCCCGCTGCCAACGGCCCCCTCCCCCCTCTCTCTCTCTCTCCGGCGACCGTTCTCGCCTCCTCCTTCTCTATTTCGTTCCTCCTGCCGTCTTTGTCGGGTCGTAGATCGCAGTCGCACGACGTATCAAACGTGCGGCCGCGCGACGAGTCGTTAATGACAAAAAGCTGGCTGACGAGACAAGGGTCTACGACGGCAGAGCCTGATAGCAGCGTCAGAAGCGGAAGCAGAAGTAGCTACAGCAACATCAGCGGCGGCAGCAGGACGGGCAAGTGCTGCTATCGGGCTCGCGGGTTCGACGCGACCGCGATGCCCGTGCCGCATCGCCACGCTCTTGACGTGAAGAAGCGCATCAGCAACGCAAACTCGCGGACGTACGACGAGGCTAGGCCGAGCAGCACCGCGTTATTAGGGAGCGTAGTCGAACGGCGGCTCGTCGCCAGGTGAGATTCGCTCGTTCTCCTTTTTCCTCTTTCTTTCTCTCTTTATTTCTTTCTTTATCTCTTTCTCTCTCGCTTCCTCCCTCCCTCACCTTCCCGTTCTCTTTCTCTCTCTCTCTCTTTCTCGTCGTGTACGCGAGCGCGCGAGAGACTACGTTTTTTTCCTGTCTCTCTTTCTCTTTCTCTCGACTCGCGCGAGAGAAACCCTCTTCCGTTTAACTGTTCGAAACGGCGCACGCCTCTTCTCACCTTCAGCGCTTATTTACGAGGGCACGGGCGAGATGTAGCAGTGCGACCGATCGCCGCCGAGGCTCTGTTGTTACTTTACCGTTTGTCCCGCATAGGTTAGGCGCATTCTGTGCGCTGATGACTGTGCAGATTAAGCACGATTTCGATCTGCCGAAACTACGCGTCGCCTTATCCCTCGCGTTGCGCGTGTTTCCCGCGGAGTAAGCGTCACGAGAAACCGGAGCATCGAGTCGACGGGTAATTTTCATTGGAAAGACAAAGAGAGAAAGAAAGAGCGAGAGAGAGAGAGAGTCATGAGCCTGATTTATTGTTGAAGTAGGAACAGTGTTACGAAGGTTAGGAAAGTTCTTTTTTTTATGTTACAACCGATTTCGTAATGTTGGGTTACACGTCCACGTTTTTTTTTAGGAATAAAGCTACACAAGTGAGAAATTGTGTAAGAATGATGCATATAATGGCTGTTCCTTGCCAACCATATATTTGTTACAATTCAATTTATTGGTACTTCTAATTGTGTCTTGGCTCGTTTTTGTTTGTCGATTCTGCCCTTCAATATTTAGTGTGTAAACTTATACACAATGTTACAAGACTTTATGAAAGTTTGAGGTCATAGAATCAGGCTTGGATAATTTTATTTATTTGGTGTTGTAACTGCAAATAATAATGATGTAGTTTGAGGTTATCTTTCTTAGTTGCTTCATAATTTACGAAGTATGAAAGCATGTTTTCAGAATGTATATAAATATGTTAAAATCTTCTTGCAGTGTGTTCAGTTATATACAAACAAAGAAATTTGCTTTCAAGAGCTAGTAATCTGCGAGATGTTTTATCATAAGGACCAAGTAAATCTGTAAATAACAGCAATTGTATCCAGGAACATCTTACGATACTTCAATAGTCGGATAGAATGTATTCTGACTGAATAATTTACTGTGTATGTGTGTGTGTGTGTGTGCTTTACCATTATTCACTCATGATACTAAATTACAGTCATATGATATCTATAGAATGCAATAAAAGTATAATTAGTCATCTGCGATAACGTGTGACTAATTATACTTCTATCTCATTAATTACAATAAAAGCAATATATTATATGTTCGTACTTGTATTTCAGATATTAAATTTGGAAAGTATATATTATTAACACATCAAAATGAAGATCGATCGCAGCAGACTGAAAAAATGCACTTCTGAAGTGGTAAGTTTTTTGCATAGTTTCTACTTGAGCATTTATTAATTTATTTCTCCTTTAGAATTCTACGGAATTTTATATTTTATGTAAATTACTATATCTTGATGAGAGATTAATGATATAATAAATGTTTAGCCCGCAGAATGTCAGACACTCATAAATAAGCTGCGCTCCTGCTCTCATGCAGAGTTGTTAGAGGAGCTCAAGCAAATAGATGCATGGACCTTTGGAAAGTGTGAATTATTTCATTGGATTGATGTCTTAGATCTCAGTGACAGTATTTTAGAAGAGGCTGCGGCAAGAAGTCCTGATAATCCATGGGAATTAGCGTGTGATCTTCCTCAAAATAGAGAGGTTTGTTTAATGAGCGATTAATTTATCAGCATGAGAACTGATGGAAAAATATATATTATAAATGTTGGTTTATGTAATAGTCTGAAATTATACGAGTGTATGAAATATTTTATATACATATATGTATATGATTATTAATTTGATACAGGCAAAAGAGCTGCTTCTCTGGGTTCTTCACTTCACAACATTGTTGATTGAGCACTCATTCTCACGGCATTTGTACAACAGCATGGAACACTTGGTTACTTTGTTATCAAGTTGTGACATGCATGTAGTTCTCGGTGTATTAAATCTCCTGTACATGTTTAGTAAACGCAGTAATTTTATTACACGTCTAAATAATGACAAACGGCAGGCTTTGCTTAGCAGGCTTAATCATCTAGCGGAGGTTAGTGATTTAAATTCATATTTTGAACAATTTGACAGTCATCAATTATATGTAATGAATTATCCATTATAGAGTTGGGGAGGTAAGGAAAATGGTTTTGGCTTGGCAGAATGCTGCAAGGAATATCCAGAGAAGGTAAGTGTACATAATTAATATGTAATTGGGTGCGGTACAACTTAATATTATTATCTTGGATCTTGCAGCCATTTCCGGCGAGCGCTACAACACTACATTTTGAGTTTTACGCGGAAAACCCGACCGTGTCGGAACCGTCAACAACTGGTACATCGCTTCCTAGTACAAAGAAAGTTGGTCAAGCGAATCTTGTAACATATATACATATAGAAGCTGTTGACAAACTTGGAAAAACCCCAGCACAGATCATGAACGATCTGTTGAAAGTCTACAACGTACCCCAGGAACGGCAGGTAAAGATGATGCTCAGATATTGCTTCTTCCGCAGCTTCTGCTCTACAAAAATTACCAAAATTCCAATAGATACAGTTTATTAATACTAAACATATATAATATGCACAACGTGTACCGGACGGTATTTTTAAATCTCGAAACTTGTTTTTTTTTTTTAGATGGCTCTATTGACACACATAAGGCTAGCACATAGTTTTTCGGATTATCGAAGACGACTGCAATGCGTGCAAGCGCGACTTCAAGCACTATCCGTGCTCGTATATAGCAACGCGTTGCAAGAAAACGCGCATAGTCTCCTTCACGCTGGACTCCTCGAGGAACTGGTTGAATTATTGGAACTCCCACATGCTCATCTTGTTGAAATTCGCGCGGCAGCCTTGCGCACCCTTACAAGTATTATACATCTGGATCGTAATCCACACTTCCCTAAGTCAGTATAGATGTACTTCTTATCCCATCACTTCACTAGTTTCATCAGTTCACTAGTGATACTGACCTTCGCTGGTGCGCTTTCAGGAAACCAGGCTCGCGCTTGAATATGATTATCGATGTCACTGGAGCCAGTTCGTATCATGGATTTCTTCCGGTTTTGGTTCGCACTTGTATAACAACGTTGACCTCACCACAGTCAGACGGACAGCCGTTCCCGTTGCCTCTTGCGACAGCTTTGTTCAGTTTTCTCTATCATCTTGCTAGTTACGAGGCAGGTGGAGAAGCACTCGTCAGCTGTGGTATGATGGAGAGTCTCTTGAAAGTCATAAATTGGCCGGGCAGTGAGCTGGAACACATTACGGTAATTACTTGGTCAAATTCGTAACGCATTTTCTCAACTCTTTTCTCAACGCATTTCGTACTAACAACAAAAAATATTACGACCTACTTGTGCTTTATATAATTATTCTCCCTAACGCTAGATCGTCGCATTTTGTTGATCCTTCGTTCTTTTACAGTTTGTAACGAGGGCAGTACGTGTTATAGACTTGATAACAAATATAGATATGCAAGGTTTTCAAACACACGGCGGTCTGGCGAGCTTCATCAACCGTTTAGACATGGAAGTCAATGTGTGTAGAAAGGAACAACCATTTGAGATAGAACCGTTGCTGTATCAGGAAGCTCCGCAGACCTCGCGAGAGAGGTCGGTGGACAGGGAGGAGGAATCTTCCACGTCGCGACGCGCCCACGAGACTTTCGACGAACGAGAGGAGTCCTCCAATCCTATGGAGTTTTCGGAAGACGAAAATATGAGTTCGAAAACGGACGAAAAGAGCGAACAGCAACCGGACTATTCTGCCGCCAAGACCGGCAAGACATGCTTACCGCAACGAGCGGCACTTCTAAAGTCAATGTTGAATTTTCTTAAAAAGGCTATTCAAGATCCGGCATTCTCCGACAGTATACGACATGTCATGGAGGGTACGTTGCCGTCCTCTCTGAAGCACATCATAAGTAACTCGGAATACTATGGACCTTCATTGTTTTTGCTCGCTACCGATGTTGTGACTGTGTACGTTTTCCAAGAACCTTCCTTGTTGTCGTCCCTGCAAGACAACGGTTTGACTGACGTTGTGCTCCATGCTCTACTCATTAAAGAAGTGAGTGTACCGAAGGATCGCATTGATCGTGATGCCATATGAATATAGCCTCGCTGGATGCATTAACATTGTCTGAAAATGTACCGAAACTTGACATTTCAGGTTCCTGCCACTAGAGAAGTATTGGGCTCGCTACCTAATGTGTTCAGTGCTTTATGTTTAAATCAGCGCGGTCTTGAGTCTTTTGTAAAGCGCCGACCATTTGAGCGCTTGTTCAAAGTACTTCTTTCTCCCGTCTATCTCTCGGCAATGCGTCGACGACGAAGCGCTGATCCACTAGGAGACACAGCTTCGAACCTGGGCAATGCCATGGACGAGCTGATGAGGCATCAACCAAGCTTAAAAGTAGACGCCATTGCGGCTATTATTAAGGTATTATTTGCGAGGAGTGAACGATGCACTTCCTAGGTAGTTACTAATCTCGACGCCTGCTTCTCAAATGTTTGTTTTCACCAGTTACTCAAAGAGCTATGCGTATTGGGCTGCGATCCTCGGTACATATGCTGGCGCGCCGCCGGTAAATCCGACAATTCACCATCGAACACCACGACCGGGAATCGTCAGTCCTCCGGTCAGTCGGTCGGCGTCGGAGTGGGAGACTCCGGTGGTGCTGGAGGTGGTGGCGGTGGTAGCAGCAGCGACGAGGAGGAGGAGGACGAAGAGGAAGCGAGCACCAGTTCGCATCCTCAGCGGGAAGAACAACCCTCGCCGTCGCCCGCACAACCCGGACCTCCGCCTCAACCGAGGGAAAAAACACCCATCGCCTTGGTCGAATACATTCACAACGTCATGAAATTCGTCGATGCTATTCTGAGCAATAACTCGACCGACGATCACTGCAGAGAGTTCGTCAATCAAAAGGGACTCGTGCCGCTACTCTCGATCTTGGGTTTACCTAATCTGCCCGTGGATTATCCCGTCGCTCAAGCGGCCCAGTCCGTGGCGTCGGTGTGTAAAAGTATCCTGGTACGTTCGATATTTGTGTACTTTATTGAAGTCACGACGTTTTATACACGTACGAAGTGTATCATAAGCGATCTTTATGTTTTGTTGGCAGAACCTTGCGCATGAGCCGTCGGTCCTCAAGACGGGTTTGTCCCAGTTGAACGAAGTGCTGAACTTGTTGAAGCCGCTTCACAGTCACATGGAGACGCCCGGTGGGTCCGTATTGTTACATGAACTTGCGTCAGCACCGAATCTTGAAACGGCATTTACCAGCGATACCGCAACACCTCTCTTGCACGCGATGAACGCTGCTCACGGATATGTAGTGATGTTCGTTCACGTCTGCCGTACCAGCCAGAGCGAAATTCGTAACCTCTCCATGAATCACTGGGGCTCCGAATTAGGTCTGAGCGTCCTCAGGGGTTTATCTGAACTTTATATGTCTCTCGTTTGGGAAAGTACGTTGCTGCTTGCGTTATGCAGCGAGGATATCATACCGGCCGGATGTGAGTTCGGGAAAGAGGATATGGACAAGTTAATGCCGCCGGAGCTGAAGACCGAAGGCGAATCGTCCACCTGGTCCGGCACTGCGTCAGCGGATATGGGCAGTAACGGGATGACTACAGCGATGGAGGCTCTCAGCACAGATCCGCCACCGGTGCCGATGGAAGTTGACGACAAGCCGAACGTGAGCACCGGCAGAACATCGCCGAACAGTTACCAGCTCAAATACATCAAGCCGCTGCTCGGGGCGTCCTCGAGACTCGGCCGAGCACTTGCCGAGTTGTTCGGACTGCTCGTCAAACTATGCATGGGTTCTCCAGTTCGGCAGCGCAGAAGCCAACAGATGCCACTGACACCCGCTCTTCCGTCGCAAGCGGCGAGACAGGTCGCCTCCTCCCTGAATTCTTTATTGACACGCGGCCTGTCGTGGGACAAATTGCCCCCGTCGCCGATACCAAAGTTCAAGTTGACCTTTCTCATCTGTTCGGTGGGATTCACCTCGCCGATGCTCTTCGACGAAAAGAGACACCCTTATCACCTGATGCTTCACAAATTCGTCACTCTGGGCGGCCAGAACTCCTTCTTCGCCACCTTCCATTGGGCGTTGTCCGGCGGTGGCCAGTTCACCTTATCGGAGGGATTGGAGCATCCGAATTTGCCGGACGGTACTGGCGAATTCCTGGACGCTTGGTTGATGCTGCTCGAGAAAATGGTCAATCCCAAAGCCATCTTGGACTCGCCTCACGTGGTGTCGGCCAAGTGTAGCGGTATGTTCAAGGAGCCTCATTTCGAGCCGATCAAGTATCTCACCGACATACACAAGAAGGCTTTCGAGGCGGTGATGCTGATGTGGGGCAAGAAGCCGCTGAAGAACTACGGAGCTCGCATGACCGAGTCGATATTGTCCATCTTACGACATATCTTACGGGGAGAGAAGATCATCAAGGAACGCACCGAGAAGAAGGAAGAGAACGTGGAGGGTGCGGTGGCGAGTGGCAGCGGCGGCAGCGGCGGCGGCGGCGGCGGTGGCGGTAGCGGCGGCGGCGGCGGGGGCGGCGCTAGCGGTATCGCTAGGAGCGGCGGCACGGATCGCAGGGATGAGCCGCTGGAGGCGGATGTGAACCCGGAGTATCTCCGACAACTGATGGACATGGGCTTCAGCAGGGCGCACTGTATAGAAGCGTTGATGCACACATTGACGGTCGAGCAGGCGACGGATTACCTCCTGACGAACCCCGCGACTCTTCGCAGACCCGACGCCTCGTTGAACGACGTGGGCGGACAGGTGATGGACGTGGAAACCGACGACGATCTCATGCAAGCCATCGCGGTGTCGCTCGACTCACCGGACGCTCACAAGATCGGCATGGGCATCGAAGAGTTCGCCAGGGAGACCACCATTACGGAGAATATAGACGAGTTCACGCACAGCGCCCTGGGCCAGTGTCTGAACCTATTGGATCTGATGCCGGACACGGTTTATCGGATATGCGATCTCCTAGTGACGATCACGAAGCGTAACGGCGACGAGTGGCGGGACAGCATGCTGCGGCAGCTGATACGCGAGATCGGCGGTCTGGTGGATCATCTGATCGAGGTCGCCGAGGGCCCGGACGAGAACGCCGGCACGCGGCTGGTGGAGTGCGAGGAGGCGAACAAAGTAGCCGGTCGGATCTACCTTTACACCCTCTTCTTCGAGGGCACGTTCCAAGAGATGCGAGTGCCGTGTGCGCAGATAGTGGAGGAGTGCGCGATACTGGACAAACTCGTGCGGTTGTTGGTCGTAAGCGAGGGTCCGCTCACAGCTACCAAGAACAGGCTGACGAAGGACAGCAAAGACAGTGGCGCGGCGAGCGGCGTGAAGACGCCCAAGTGGCTGGCGCCGCTGTTGCTGCTGATAGACCGTTTGGAAAAGGTGGCGATACTGACGAAGCGTAAGCAGCTGATGCACAAGGTCACCACCAGGGCGTGGAAGTGGTTTGACTTGAGTACCGGTAAATGGACCCTCTACTCGCCGATGAACAACAGGATCATCAACGACGCTTACTGGGCCGGCGAGTCGAGCGTCAGGATCTCGTGCAGTCGGCGCCGTTACCTCATCACCTTCTCCTGCATGACTCAGGTGAACGAGGACACCGACAACAGGCGTCCCATCACGATGTGCTTCAAGCTGAACACAGGCAACAACGAGGACGGTGGCTCGGGCTCCGATTCCAACATGGACACCGACGAGAGCCCGATAGAGGAGAAACGGAACACGGTGGTGCAAGGATTGGATCCCAGCATAGCGCCGAGTATCGTGCGGTAAGAACGTTCTCTCTCTGTTATGTATACTTAACCGATTGGCTCGGATGATACGCGAACACGTATCACTGTGTCGAATATTGCGGTACACGATGAAATGCGAGCGAGTGACCGCACTTTATGGAACGTATATTATACAGCGCCTGTGTGAAGCTATTGGCAATCCCAGTCGATCGGGACGCATTACACGCTCTGATGAAGGTGTGTCTGCGGCTAACGAGGGACTACAAGAACGCGGAGGTGTTCGCGCGCGAGGGTGGTGTCAAGTTGCTCCTCGAGATGACGCAAATGAGCAGCTTCACCGGTTGCATAAATCTGAGTACTCTGTTGATACGGCACACCCTGGAGGAGCCGCGTACGCTCCGTCTCGCTATGGAGAAGGTATGCTTGCGCGCATCGTGCACTACTCCTCGCGCAGTAACGTAGTAATGTATCACCATCGCTGATTTCCCTCGTTCCAGGTTATTCGCACCCGTACGCAGATCAACATACCTCCCGCGTACAAAGAGATACTCTTCATGACACGGCAGATCAGTAGCGCCGTTTGCCGTAATCCGGAAGTGTACAAGGAAGTGTGCGAAAATATCCTCCGAGTCGACATAAGCGTCCTGAAAAGTGAGTCCCGTCAGTCCGTATTTTTCTACCGATCGATTTCGGATGCCTCCAAGTCCCGTTTGCATCCTCTCCGTTTTTCAGAAGACGACGTCGACAACAGGCTGGTCGTCAAGGCCCTACCTCCTAGTCATTCTCCAGCATTGCCGATGGTGGAAGAAGTATCCATAGGTGTTATTCGCGACCTGTTGAACGCGCTAATCAAGCCGATGCCGGTCTCATCGGACGACGGCACGACCACTCCTACGAGCCCCGAGAAGAAGACTTCGCACTCGACATCCTCCACGGCGATTGGTAACGCGTCATCGTCGACATCCTCGCGGCGAGATGTGCTGAGAAACAATACAACGACCACCAACGATCCCCTAGACGACGACGATCAAGTGTCGCAGATTATTCCCTTGAAGATATACACTGACATCAGTAGTAACAGCAAAGTCGAGCCGGAGGAAGCGAAGAAGCCCGTGCTGACGAAATCCGCGATATTGAAGATATTGGCGGAAGCTGTTCGATCTTACGGAGCGGTCGCCAGTCTGATCACCGAGCACACGTATCGAGCGGGCCAGAGCGAGATGGTGTCCGAGGACACGACAGCCTTGGCGTTCTTGCTCGACAAGCTCCTGCCCATGTTGCCGGAAAACTCGGGCGACCGAACGTGCAGCAGCATGGCCAGAATGTTGATTGCCGCTATCGCGTCGTGCAATCATTCTCCGGACGTGCAGACGACTCTGGTGACCGAGGTGAAGGCAGCCCTTACCAGGACGCTCGCGCTTCCCGAAAGCTCCGAGAAGCACGCGCAACTGCAGCTGCTGATCGGCCTGATCTCCACTATGATCGACAGTTGCCCGCCGACATCGCACACTCAGCTAAGAGCATCTCTGAAGGCCCACCAGTACAACAACGTCAATTACATCGTGCGGATAATGCTGAGGAAAGGTATCATCACCGACTTGGCTAAGATACCACACAGCCTGGACCTGTCCAGCCCGAACATGGCCGCTACGATTAATGCCGCCTTGAAGCCGCTCGAGACTTTGTCGCGCATCATCAATCAACCGATGCCGGGGGCAGTCAATAACAAGTTCACGAAGCCGAAGAACAGGACGGTCCAGGAAGAGCCGATCGGGGAACAGACCGGCACGACGACGTCTGAAGCCACGCATGCCGTGGGCGAGGAGGCCAACGAGGACGCGGAAAATACCGAGCACGACATCTCCGTGACCGCGGAAAGTCTGGAGCCGGCTTCCGAGGGCCAGGTGCACGAGGAAGGCGATGAGGCAGCCTTGGAGGACATTATGGATCAGCTTCTCGAGAGGTAACGACACCCAAATTGATGGAAATAATCAGATTCCGACGAACGTCATGCAATTCTGTAGAATCTCTCTTTGCGTTTCATCGAGATGTATGCTCTCTCTCTCTCTCTCTCTTGTTCTCTTATGTAACGGTAACTTTAACATGACAAAATGAAAGATATTGAATTGAATAGATTAATGCTTTCCTGCATTTGACAGAAGTGGAACACCGTTTGCACACGGGTCGCATTTTGTATGATTTTCTTTTCCTAACGTGTGTGAGTGTGTGTGTCTAAAACTGAACGTCTTTCGTCCCGTACGATTCATCAATCGAGTGTTTCTACGTGCGGATTTTTTAATGATAATTTATTCGAACACGCCACTTTCTAAGTTGCGGGAATTCTTTTGCTTTATTATTGTTATAAATTATGTGTTGCACGCGTTCTGCGAATCTTTATTTATATTTAATAGACCCTTAAATCTGTGAAGGCTGCAGTACTTATAATCAAGTAGTGTAATGTTTTCCAGGGACGGCTCAGCCGTGGCGGAAGAACAATCTTCCCGTCCGCACAGGCCAATGGACATTGATGACGAAAGTCTCGCGATGCGCGACGCGGAAGGCGATTTCGATCCTACTCGCGATACCACAGTAAGAGTAACGTCGCTTTCTTTCCTCGTTTTATTTTACAATCGGATGCTTCCCATCTTGCTTTCTGAATTTACAACGAGTTCCATTTTAGGAGGACCTAATGAGTTCCGATTCGGATTCCGATAGCAATCCATCTGATGATAATGAGGACGAGGTGCAGGACGACGAGGATGAGGAGGAGGAGGAGGAAGACGATGGTAGATGAGACGGCTTGATACGCCGCAACGCCGAGCGAAGTAGAAAGATCGTATATCTCTTTAATCTCATTTATTATTATTATCGCAGGTGAAGAGAACGAGGAAGAGGAGGAGGAAGAGGAGGAAGGTTCGTCCAATTACGAAGAGGATGGAATAGAATTTTACGAAGACGCCGGTGAAGGCGGCGTCTTTCGCATGTTTCCATCCAACGAGCGCGATGGCGGCAATGTTGTTATGATACAGCACAACATCGAGAATCAGGACATCGCGAATACATCGACGCCGGTTACTACGCGTCCGAGTCTTCCCACATGGAACACGACTTTCCCGTTACCGTTGGGTCTGTTCGAGGAACCTCCCACTGTTTCGGAGAACAATGGTAAGAACGAAAATAATTATATGTGATGTTTTCCCATAAATATTTCATTGAGTACTTTCCATTTTTTAGCAACATAAGTCGACCCAAACATCATTCTGTCTTTGTTTATTCACTAAGTATGAATGAAAGCATCTGTTCTCGAGTGATCGTATAGACTAAAATCATAATCATTTGTTTGTTTATACGTAGGTATTACTCATCCTCTGCTGATATCGCAAGGAAGTTTGGACACCGCGAGCAACAGGTCTCAACGTGCTCTACGGCAGAGACGGTATCAGTACCTTCAGTTGTCCAATCCACGCAGTCCAAATCCTCCTGTAATATTACAAAGGTACGCATTGACATTTTGACTATTCAATAGTATATCTCGTATGTGCAAATAGTAAGTATATTTATTCTAATTTCTATTTCATTATATTTAATTTTTTTAATATGATTTAGACTTTTGGGCCCAGCTGCACAGACTCTTCCTTTGTCCGCCAGCCAAGTGTTGGCATCGAGTTTCAGAGACACGCGCGTTGTCGTCATGGATAATGGATTGGGGATATTTACTAATCAAGAAGAAGAGCAAATTGATTATGTCGTACGTTTACACAATATATATATGTTCCTTGCAAATATGTGTGATATCATACAAAGAGTGCGTTCCGAAGTTAAAAATGGCGAATGTCCTCAGGATCAATCCGGATATCTCTTTGGACCAAGCCTCGCCGCAACTTTGAACAACATACCGACCGCGTTGCATTGGTGGATCGAAGAGAGCAAGCAGTTGGACGGGGACTCTCAGCCAGATTGTTGCGTTGGTAAGAACGAGGAGATTCGCGATCTTCGCGTGGTGTATTCGTGCAATTTTATTGATTTCATTTCCGCTATTTAAAGGTGTTGTTCACAAGTTGATACCTGGACTGGAGAAGCACAGGAACGCCGAACTGGCTGAGCGTAAGGAAAAGCGTAAGAAACAGCATGGATCCGAGAAGGAGAACGAAAAGGACAGTAAAGACGAGAAGGAACGACTGAATACTACGGAATGTGAGTATATTGTTTACATTTACCATTGAACATTGATTTTTTTTTAATATGTCCCAGAGCATGCGAAGAGAAAATTGTTTGAGCTGCTCCTTAAATTATAAACTTTTTTTTGTTATATTTTCATTTTTCCCTTTTTAGTATAAATTATCTCTACAAATGCAATTATATTTATGTTTTTCCTATATGAGGGAAGTTTATCTTGCATATGCAATAAATAAATAAGTAAATGTCTGTAAAACACCGCTCTTCAAGGTACGCTTCCTATTCCAGCCGGTTCGTCCAGTTTGATACAAATGGACGAACAAAGATCGTCCGCGTCGACGTCGCAAAGAACCGACGCCACTCCGCTCGTAGCAGGCGAGGAGACGACTGTGGAAACAACGAGGCAGGAACGCACGCCGGAAGAAGACATAATCGGTATATTCGCAAGATATTCTCGAGAGAAAGAAAAAGAAATAGAGAGAGAAAGAGAGAGAGAGAGAGGGCGAGAGAACAATTTTTTTTTCTATTTATTTTCTTTCGGCAACTACTTTATACATGCGTGTTTCTATGTGTCTTTTACATACCAGATGTAACAGGTGAAATGGAAGTGACGGTTCAAGAGGATGAGGAGCGACCGCCTCCGCCACCGCCGGAGGAGCAATCGTCTTCGTCGGAGAGTAGAGATCCCCGCACGGCAAATCGTAATCCGACATTGGAACTCGCGGAGAGTATCGTCGACTCGGTGTTAGGACCGTGTACATCAGAAGCAACCATCAGATTAAGTAATATATAATTATTGCAAAAAGGACCAAGTCCGAGAATGTTCGAAACGGTGCGCGAAGATATCTCCCCCTTGTAATCGAGATCGTTTTCCTTTCGATCATTCTACGTTTTGGTCTTCTTTGCAATACTGTCATTCACAACGCGACTGGCCTACATTCCCCCATGAGGCAATTCGCATCAAGCGTGTTATACCAAGCGACGCATCTGGCTTCCGCAGGGCAACCTGGACGCAGCGCGGAGCCGACGAACACTACCGAGTCGTCCAATCGCGCCGCTGCACCGATTGTAGTGGATTTCGGTCAGGAAACCAGCGAGGATCTATCCAGGGAAAGTAGCGACTCGGCCGATTGGATACGCAGACTCTTGACGGACGACAGTCAATCCAGTGTTGAGCGAAAGTAAGTAATAAATGTCGCGGTACAAATCGTCGAACCGTTTACAACAGATATCGACACGAATATGTTCGCTCCGAAGTGCCAACGTTGTCAGTCAAGACCCTACGTGTTCCACGTCCGAAACGACCACTACCACCACCACTACCTCCGCTGCAGCCGCCGCCGCGGAGACCTCGGAACAGTCGCAACAATCGTCGCAGCAGCAGCCACAGCAGCAACAACAACCACAACAGCAGCAGCAACAACAACCTCCGCTGCCCAATTGGCAACCTCAGGAGCAACAGCTGCCAGATGGCGTAGACCCCTCGTTCTTGGCCGCCTTGCCCGAGGATATGCGCGACGAAGTCATCGCCGAGCAACTCAGGTAGAGACGTTGATTAATTTACACCTTTACCCACTGTCGTTATGTGTGATTTCAACACGGTTTTTGTACGCTTTTACGTAATGGAGGGACAACGCTGACGGATGATACATCCTTGAGGGATAGGAATTATTCAGAAACAAATTCTATTGCGGACCACAAGCTTCGTTCCAAATTACATTGAGAGAAAAATGTTAAAACTATATAAAAACTTCCGTATTAAAATTACTGTTCCGGACGGTAAAGCGTTGAGCAACGGTGTGATAATGGCATGAAAATGATACGTCAACAGGCTTCAGCGTATCAGGCAACGCGCCGCAGTAGTCGAAGAACTCACCGGACCGGTTGAGGTAAACCCCGAATTCCTGGCTGCCCTGCCGCCCGCGATTCAGGAGGAAGTCCTGGCGCAACAACGCATGGAGCAGCAACGGCACGCAGCTGCCTCGGCGAACCCGGAGGATCCCGTGGACGCTGCGGCATTTTTCCAAAATCTGCAACCTTCCCTTCGACAGGCTGTTAGTATAATTGCTGCTCGGCAGAAAGTGTATCATTTTCCCTTGGCCTCTTCACAGTGTGACGGTTTAATCACTGATCCCGACGTTTGTCCCCGTAGATCTTGACAGATATGGAGGAGTCACAGATATCCGTCCTACCGCCGGAATTGGCTCAGGAAGCTCAGAACTTGAGGAGAGAGTGGGAAGCACGTAACCGGCATATGATGCAGGAAAGATTTCTCAATCATGTCAGTCAAGGCAACACTGCTCTCTCCAGTATCTTGAGGAATTCTGGTAGAGGTGAGTCCGCGTTTATACCGGACACATCGGCGTGTCGATGCGTCGTTAATGAAACTTTGTTTCGGAGGCATGGTTTGATGCAAAAGTCGAAACATTTGTCGACAGCTCGAGGTGGTGGTACACGGTACGCTATTCATGCAGTGCCGCAGAGATCTCAGTGGAGTGCCTGGAATACCCGCGGTGATGCAAACATAGCGCACCAAGGTGCTGGACTACGCTTGAGAGGACGGCAATTACTCGATCACGAGTCGATGGCCTGTTTGCTTGTGTTACTCTTTGTAGACGAGCCGAAGATCAACACGCTCAGACTGCACCGAGTGATCAGAAATCTCTGTTATCACGGTAGCACGAGAGAGTGGGTGGTGAAGGCACTGCTGAATATCATGGAAAGAAGTAACGACGAAAATAAAGACATTATAGCAGATCTTAGTGGGAAATTCAAGAGAAAGGGATTGTTACCTCCCATGGATTTATGGTAAGACTTTGACCGCCTTGCTTCACCTACCGTCGAACAATGCGCGTTACGTTCGTCTCGCGAGATGATAAACGGGTCCCGGTGAATCTCTCGTTGCAGCTCTCCAAAGATATTTGACCAAAGAAACAACGCGCAATCGTGGCTAAATATCAGTATCGATGCTGCGCTCGGCTGCAGAGCCAATGTGTTTCATATAGTACGTCACGCTGGCAAGAAGTCTGAGCGGCAGGGTAATATTATCGCCATTCATCCACAGGCAGCGCCTACCGTCTGCAGGTCAGCGCGCTAACTCGAGAAATTACTTGAGAATCTGATGAACGTTAACGTGACGAATTATACACGTATATTTTTTATATAATTATATTTTTCTTTCCTTGGATTGCAGGCATACCTTAGAATTGTTGATATCGTTAGCTAAGAGTTTCCCTGGTTATTTTGTGCCAATCAAATCTAAGGAATCAGATGATAAGGATAGTAATAAGGAGAAAGACGTGAGCGCCAGCAAGGAGGACGGCGGAGCGAAGGGCAAGTCGACGTCCAAGATAGGAAGGAGCGATCTCCCGGACTTCTGGGACATGTTGCTGAAACTGGATTCGTGCGCGTCCAAGAAAGGAAAGTCGGTCGCGCGTACTCACTCGAATACGAATCTAGGAAACGAGCCGGAACACGGAATAACAACGTTCGAGGCTTCTGCGTTCGGCCAGCTCATTTCGATGCTCAACTGGTCCGTGATCAAGCGAAGCAGCCAACTGACGGACAAACTGCTGCGCCTCCTCTCCTTGATCTCCATCGGCTTGACCGAAGTGAATCCTTACCGGCGGCAGGAAGGCACAAAGAACAAAAAGACTGAAGTCAGTAAGGAGCACAGCGTCGCCGCGCCAGAAGGACATTTGAAGCTTGCCGTGCAGGTCTTGACTAGTAAGAGTTGCTCCGAGGAGGGCCTGGAAGATGCGACAGCATTGCTACTCAACCTGTCTCATTGTCCAGATCCTACTAGACAACTGGTAAGGCATTCTTATAAATTGATATAATATAGTCGTTAAGTAGAAAGTAACATCAATCACTCTTTTTCTAGATATTGAAGTTGCTTCTGGAAGGTGCAATGGAACTAGCGAATATGGTGTGCGAACATATCAATGATTTGATGATGGAGCTAAAAGTCTTGAATCGTGAATTGAGTCGAAGGAATTCCTTGGAAGATCAGCCGTCTACCAGCTCTGGTGGAAACGGCGGCCGAGGAATTCTGTTGGATAGGTAAGACATTTTTGCGTTCACGGATCGTGCATTCTACGATTGAGTGTAAAAAGGCGTAATGAATCAGACACATATTTATTCGCGAAAGCTTCTCTTCCAGATTCACCAACGAGAACGTGGTTGTCACTGCACCAAGCAAAGTTAAAGCCGGAAGTGACCTTCAGTTGCCGTCGATGGCCGCTCTTGTTAGCAAAACATCTAGTCAGGCATTCTTCTTGAGAATACTTAAAGTCATTGTGCAGATCAGGGAAGCTGTACGCTTAGCGAATACGAAGAAAACAGGTATTATACAGATTATGTATCCTATATTCTCTTATAACGTCATGTTGCGCTGAATCTGTAAAATTTCCTCACGTTTTATTGATTTATGCGATAATGTCGATTGAAACATCTTTTCCTCTTGAAGCCAATCAAGCGTCAGAAACAGCCATGGACACAGGCACAACGAGTAACGCATCAGAAACAGGTGTTTTGATTGACTTGCCTCATTTTTTCTCTGTATTATTTATTCTGAACAATCATTTATATCGAAAATTTAATCGTCTTATTATAGTCGCCGACAATGCGGACGTCGACGTTCCTATGGATACAACGCAAGCTAATTCTTCAAACCTTGACAATTCAAAGACATCTTCTCGCAACGGTAAGCCAAGGATCTTGACGTGATTTCGTTACAGCGTTAATTATTGTATCATCATTAAATTAAATTTCTTTCTCGTTGGTTATTTTTAGACGAAGAGAAAACCACACTCCCCCTTTTGAGCGAGAGTCTTGTACTGGATAACTTGTGGGAGACTCTTAGCGCCTGCTTACTCGAGTTAGAGTACACGCCTGATCACCATGCCGTCCTTGTTTTACAAGTAATCGATAATGTTTATCTCGATGAAAATTCTTCACGTTTTACACTTTTGCATATTCATCATACTATTCATCGCGTTCTAATGTAGTTTGCGAATATTATTTTTTGTATATACTTTACGCACACATTTGACATTGCAGCCCGCTGTAGAAGCGTTTTTCCTGGTACACTCCTCGTCGAGTACGTCTCGCGATCGTCACCTCAACACGAATAGCGAGAATCGAGAAGTCGTACCAGAGTTGGCGCCAGTGTCACCGATATACTCCGACAATGAAGGTACTTCGCAAACGGAAACCACTAATAACACCTCCTGGGACATAACTCCGACTCCGCAGAAGACGTTGCCCCCGGATCAATTAAAGTTCCTCAAATTTGCCGGTGCGTATGTAACCGATGAGCACAAATTACATGCGTGTGCTGTTTTAATGCATACATGTATTGACAATTGAATATGTGTGTATCCCGCTTTCAGAAACGCACAGGACTGTACTGAATCAAATCCTACGACAAACGACTACACACCTGGCGGATGGTCCATTTTCCGTGTTGGTGGATCACACCAGGGTGTTAGATTTCGACGTGAAGAGACGTTACTTCAGAACAGAACTCGAGCGGATGGACGAGGGTATTCGTCGGGAGGAGTTGGCGGTTCACGTTCGTAGAAGTCACGTATTTGAAGATTCATTCAGAGAGCTTCATCGGAGGAACGCCGACGAATGGAAGAATCGTTTCTACATCGTCTTTGAAGGTAGAGATACTCCTAACATTCTTTTTTTCTCGATGCTTTGCGTGAACATAGTATGAGCCAAGGAACCGTATATACCAAATAAAACGCTTGCTTTTTGATACCAATGAAAGGCGAGGAAGGCCAGGATGCAGGAGGGTTGCTCAGAGAGTGGTACGTTATCATCTCAAGGGAGATCTTCAACCCTATGTACGCTCTGTTCACGGTCAGCCCTGGTGATCGAGTAACATACATGATTAATTCCTCTTCGCACTGTAATCCCAATCACTTGTGCTATTATAAGTTCGTAGGTCGAGTAATTGGTAAGTTGTCGCGGATCTGCAGTGGACCCACGCCGAAAGATCACTCTAACAACAAGTTCTTACTTATTGCAGCTAAAGCTATTTATGATAACAAATTATTAGAATGCTACTTCACGCGTAGTTTTTACAAGCATATACTCGGCATACTCGTGAAACATACAGACATGGAGAGCGAAGATTACAGTTTTTATAAAGGACTTGTCTACCTTACGGAACACAACATTTCCGATTTGGGATATGAACTCACATTCTCCACCGAGGTACGTAACCATTTATTCCGGTGCGATTTGCATGCAATTTTCACAACGAGATCGCTAAAAATACGCGCTTTGCTCCCAGGTCAATGAATTTGGCGTTAACGATGTGAGGGATTTAATACCAAACGGACGTAATATAGTTGTTACCGAAGAGACGAAACTAGAATATATTAGGCTAGTATGTCAAATGAAAATGACTGGAGCGATTCGGAAACAGTAAGTGGATTCCAGAAGCGAAAACGTTCGCTTTCGACGATTTCTGCTTAATTATCGCTATGCTCACTCTTATTTTTTTTTTGGTCCATCCCCACAGATTGAACGCATTCTTGGAGGGCTTTTACGACATTATACCCAAACGACTGATCTCCATATTTAACGAACAAGAACTTGAACTATTGATCAGCGGCTTGCCTAATGTAGATATCGAGGATCTTAAAGCGAACACCGAATACCACAAGTACAGTGCTACGTCCCTACAGGTAAGTTTCTACATTTCCTTTGTGCGTTATTCGACCTTACTCGAACGATGCGTCGAGTTAACACATTTATTCCGTCGTCTTTACGCAGATCCAATGGTTCTGGCGTGCCCTGCGCGGTTTTGATCAAGCGGATCGTGCAAAGTTCTTGCAATTTGTTACTGGTACGTCCAAAGTACCGTTGCAAGGTTTCGCCGCATTAGAAGGCATGAACGGCGTGCAGAAGTTCCAAATACACAGGGAAGACAGGTCAACAGACAGGCTTCCCTCTGCCCATACTTGGTAACTATATGATTTGAATGTCCTTTTTTCTTTCTCTCGCGAGAAAGAGAGGAGGAGAAAGCGCGAAGTAAAGTGCATGGCGATGTTCTCGAACTAAAACGCGCTTCCCAAATTGCAGTTTCAATCAACTGGATTTACCAGTGTACGAAACGTATGATAAACTGCGGACGAATCTGCTGAAGGCGATTCACGAGTGCAGTGAAGGGTTCGGATTTGCATAAACTCTCAACAACAGGCACAGGCTCACCATGGCAGTTCATCGGCACAGTGGAGGATTCGCATAAGTTTGTGCGAAACGCCGTGTCGTATATTATAAACGGTTTATCATACATGTGTTGTCCTGTCTGTTCGGAGTATGCCGTGAGAGAGATTCGGTCATGTATAATTACGCGTTCATGCAGTCCGATCGGTGACATTCTGGCGACACGCTTGGTCTTCAATCAAGATCTAACAAGAAAAAAAATGTTTAACTCGATATATACATATAGATACACGGATATGTATATACGTATAATTAATTATGATGTAATTACGTGAGAATAACGCGTTTCAATGATACCCGAAGCTAGGGTTTATTTTGTTGTGGAGAGGATCTTGGAAGAAGCGCCGAGCTTAACGATAATTCCCTACAAGGAAGGATAAGGAGGATTAGTTTTTATGAGTAAGATACGATAAGGGTAAGATTCACGCATAAGTGTAATAGTTAGGTACTTTAGTTTGTCATAAGGAGTAATATAGGACGGAGAGAATGTAATATACTGCACTTGAAAAAAAAAACCAGCGATATGTTTTAACCGGTTCGATAGTTTGAATAGTGATACAACGTGTGGCAACGGCAACGGTGGCCTGGTTAATTACCGAAAAAAGAGCAGCAAAAGCATAAGTGTATGAGTGCCTGTGCGAGTGAAAGGGAACGAGAGAGAGAGAGAGAGAAGGAGAATGTGACGATGAGAGAGCGAGAACGAGAGAGAAATTAGCGGAGAGATGTTGAGCCTAAAAGATTTCACAATACAAACGCTATCCTTCCCCTAAAAAGATGTATGGTTGTACACTACTAGTATTAATAATTATAACTAATTCTTAATTAATAGTAATGGTCATTAAATATCATTTTAATATTAATCATTCGAAATGTGATGTTAAACACGTGTAATTTCTTTTCTCTTGAGATTTAACGAAATAAAGTTTACAGTTGAACAGATATTACTTTATAAACACATCGAACGGGACAATATTGGCGAAACACGTACAGGCACCGTTACAATTGATTATCGAGCTCCTTTCGAAATTGTTAGGGAATTATTGATTAGGATTCGCAGAATAAAATGATGAATGTTGTATTTCTTATATATATAAAAAAAAAACTGATAGGAACATTGTGTTCTTTTGTTATTGCGAAGTCCTTGATTACAAACTTCTCAGTTTCCTTGATGGACAGACGTCGATGATGTTACGCGATGTTACAATTTTAGTCTCCCTTTAAAGATAGTTTACTTTTGTGTATTACCGAATAAATTATTGTTCGATTAACTACATGAGAATATTAATGTATGTAACAGGAAAATATATATTTCATATTTACAAAGTCTTTCGTATAAGTGTGATAATAATCCATAATATATTAGCATCTCTAGTGCGCCGTGACGCGCATTACTGGAGGTAATTCGCTGAGTCGAATGAATGATGACACGCTGCGCGTTAAAAAAAATCTTCATAAGTACGTCGCAAAACTTGAGAAGCAGTGTGCCATCGCATCGTAATCGGAATGTTATCACTGGCTGCACAGGCCCATCCACAGGTGGAAGCAGCAAGCGTTGACGAAACCTTCGACCAGAGTGTAGACGTCCTCGATGTTCATCGGCACATTGATCTCCGTGGATTTCCGGTAAACTGCGCATAAGTCCTAAAACCAGGCCAATTACGTCCCGCTGTATTCTCGCTCGCGCTCCAAGAATAATTTTCACCAAACTCAGAATAAACTAACCGTCGAATGATCAAAATCGCAAATATCAACTCCAACTTCTGTAATTCGTCGTTAAACAATAATGGGCCAATTAGTAATTTCTAACTGCATCAGCAAATTAGAGCAGGCGATATCTGAATGATAGCAATTTTAGATCGTGGAGTAGCTTAATCAGAATTTGACGAAAGTTGCCCCGATGACTCTCGTCTTCGACGATACACGGTGTACTCACTCCTCTCGACGCATGCAGATCGATCGTCAGCATCATGAACGCTTGAAAGAGAGTCGGGTCCAATATAAGGTGATGAGTGATGTTCCCGTCGGAAGTGTTGAACTGCTTGTGATTATCCTGGTACTTGTTTTGCAAGACCTTCGACAGCGCCTGATACCACGAGACGGGCTGATTAACGAGCGGACGGAGCCTGGGGTCCAGATTCGGCAGGGACTCGATGTGGGCCAACGAGCAGAGCTCCTTGAACTCGGAGTATGTCATCGTGGACTTGTTGTCCAGCAGCTTGTCCCAGAGCAAATGCGTCCTGCACTGCAACGCGCCGCGGTCCACCATGTTGGTAATGTGCTGGCGAGCGGCCTGCGCCTGCGACATGATCAATTGCTGCATGAGCTGCTCGTGTGACGAGTAGTAGCCCAGATAATTGACCGATTCCTGACGAATCTGCACCAAATGCGGCGACGACGTCGACACGCTCGACGTCGCGTTCGGAATACTCGAGCTCTGCGCGAGAGGGGAATTCGGGACCGGCGGTGGCGTCGGCGCCAAATTGCTGTGAATGTTGTAGCTCGCCATTTTCACCTCTGCGTCCTTCGTCTCGCTACTCTCCTTCGTGGAGCCGTTGGAGCCGTCGAGGCTTCTGTCTGCCTGCTGATCGACGCACATCTCCGTCCTGGAATTGTCCCTCACGAACGGCGGTATCGGCGAGACCGGGCTGGACTCCACCGGGCTGTCCGTATATGAGCTGGTCGTGGACCTGCCCACGCTGTACACCGTCCTGAACTTGCCCAGCTTATTGTTCTCCACCTCCCGCTTTGGGTACAATTCCCTCTTGCTCGTTAGCATCAGGTAATACTTCAGGGTGATCTCGGTCTTCTCCAGTTGCGGCGGCTGCTCGACGCGCGACACGATCAGCGCCACGTCGAAGTCGTCGGTGTACCGGGTGTCCTGAGCGTCGCAATAGCTGACCAACGGGGTGCTCTGCAGCTTTATCAAGACGTATTCGTTGTCATGGGACTCCTGAAGCTCGCTGAACATCACGCGCATGTCGTACACCTTGTCGTGCGACAGCAGATACGAGTACAACGTGCGCGCGGGTATCGCTATGTTCCGTATCGTTATCACGTCTGGAATGAATGAAACCTGTGACGTCACCCGAATTCTGACCGACACACACTCCCCGGGCTTACCGCTGTATATCAGATTCCTCGCGTAATTCGGCGCCTTGCTGTAGTACTTGAGGAAATCGTCCAGAAAGTGAGTGAGATGGTAGCCCTGTTGCAGAGACCACGGCCCAGTCCCGGCGATGTAGGAATGAATACAGCGCAGGTGGAAGTCGTAGGTGAACGAGTGCAAGTGCATGCTGATCTTGATCTTGTCGCAGGCGTCTACGAAGCTTAGCACGAACTGCGAGGAATTCACATCGTCGGTCAATTTCATTTTACGCGCGGAAAGACAGTTGGAATTTATCCCTATTTTTTCGCAACACGACATATAGAATGAAAGATGCTGTATTAACATTAATTTAATGATTGGGTTCGAGTTATCGGAGGATTTATGTAACAATCGGAGACTCCGTTTAACGTGGAAAGTTGATTCATCGTGCGCGTTTGTCCGCGGACTAATCCTTGCGTCGTTGAACATCTATATCCCCAACAAAAATTCAAACAACATGTCTCCACAACAGCTGCGATCGTTCGAGCTTTGTCAGTGATGATAATTAGTCAATATACGATCCCCTTTGATGATATTTCATGTGTTTACGTTTGGGAATTATCTGCACTCGGAGTGAAACCTACCCCCACCACCATCATTCACTCTGCTCCCCATCTTCAGAGTGATATTTTCGAGCGCAATTTTACAGAGCCATCTAAGTTTGAAACTTATCCCACCTGGTTCACCATGCCGCTGCTGGTCTTGGTCTGCAAGCGATTGCACTCGATAATGCTCAATTTGACGATGAAGAACGGCTGCGACAAGTGGATCTCGAATAGCAAAACTCCGCCCAGCATGGACTTCTTGAGATAGTACGACTGCTGCTGCGCCTGCTCCTCGTCTCTGCAAGAGGGCAGATCTTCAGAGATCTTCGCGAAAGTTCGATTCCCAACGATAGACGACTGAACGAACGTTTTATGCGGCGACTCCACTTGGATCGGATTGAAGCCCAAGATCTGCAGATACTGCTTGTACTCGGACAACATCGACTTGCAGAGCTCCTGATGCCATTTGACCAAGAACGTGTTGGCCGCCCTCTGCTTCGGCTGCGGCGATTGTTGCTGCGCGTTGTTGTTGTTGTTCAAGCTGAAGAGAGACGACGGCGGCGTCAACGAGTGATCTCTCGTAGCGGCCGACTGCAGACGCCAGGCCGGTAGGAAGAGCAGAGGCGTGTGGCAAAAGTGTATCAAACGGGAGTACTGCTTGAACGTGTTCGAGGCGTTCAGCGAGATCGGTATGTTGGGCGTGCGGCTCTGCCACATCGCGTACAGTCTCTCCACGTCCTCTGCGAATTTCCGAGGGTCGCGTCAGTCGAGTCATCAACGAGAGAGAGAGAAGAAAACGATTATTGAGCGAGCCAGCTGCTGAGAATCGGGGGCCTACCTTTGATCTTCTTCTCGCGATGTCGCAGATCCTGCAAATCGTAAGCGGCCTTTACGATCGGGTCGGTCGTGTTGAGGGGATACGATACGCTCGGCTTCGCGTCGCGCATCGCCTGTCCGACCACCTGGCTCCACGAGAACGCGCTGTTCTTCACCTGCGCCTGCGCTCGGTTGCTCGACCGCGTCCAGTCCTTGCTGTCGGCGTTCGACTGGCTGGGAAACTTCGCGAGGCTCTCCATGTCGGTGATCTGGTAATACTGAGAGCCGTGTTCCCTCTGCTGCTGCGAGTCTCGCGTGAGTTTGTGATGGAATATGCCCAGCTTCTGCATGATTATGTTGGTGAAGAGGCTAGACCTGGAGGAGAGCCAGGTGCCCAGACTGGTCGCTTGTTTCATCAGCTTCTCCGACCGTTCCTTCGACCAGTTGTACATATATATTCTTATCTGAAATGATCAGCGTTTGAGAATCCTCCGGGATTGACGATCGTTACAATATTGGCCTGTAATGAGCACTCACATTGTCACTTTGTACTTCGGCCAGCAGTATCCTTTGCCTGGGCACGAAATTCGACTCCGATATCAGCGGATTAAATTTCTGCAACTGTTTCTGATCTGTAACATAAAATTGTGGCAAAACTCAAGACGAGATCCGTAACAGAGTTGCCATGGAAAATGTTTCTTTGAAATTCCCCGATTATTCCAGACGACAGTGGGAGAATTTTCCATTACCAATATGTAATTTAAAATCTTAACGTTACTTTAACATCAAAGCTCACGAAAGTCGCGAAGTGCAAAATTCCAGGCTCTTTTACATCTTTCCCCGATTCTTTTCCACAGATTGTCTTCGATCAATTGAAATTCCCACGACTTTTGCCGATTTTCTCCGTTTTCCAGGCTTGTGGCAACTCTGCGTGAGATTCAAGGAAATTGGAAGGAATCGTTAAACCGACCCTTGGGGGCAAGCAGTTCCGGATCTATCCTTCTGCTCGAGGACGCCTTCCACTGGCAAAAGTTCCTCGCGATCAAGATACACTTAATGCAGCTGGTTTGCTCGTCCCTGTTGAAATCACGCGGCACGTACACGGGCAAGTCCGCGCCTGGCGTATCCTCGGCTGTCTTGCGGATACTCTCGGACCACTTGTGAACGGGTCCCGCTTTGCGAGGAACAACGAAGTGATTGAGGAAGGGCTGCCGATCTCGCAGAACGAAGACTCTGCTGGACGTGTCCGGGTCCTGACAGCGTATAAGATTCTGCAGCTCCTTCACTATCACCGGGATCGCGTGTCGATGGTGAATGATCACTTCGTGCTTCTTGACAGCAGGCACACCCATCTCCAGGGCGAACTGGAACCACTGCGCCAACGTGCTGTGATATATCTCGTTCAGTTTGCCTTCCTCGCCGAGCTCGTATTGGTCGATCGTCGAGTTATTATCCTCCGCTGTCGTCTCCTTGATCGTCGACGGGGCGGACTCCGGCTCGGTCAACGGCGTCGCCAGAAGATGGTACTCCGTGACCAAGTCCCAAGTGCCGTGTTTCACGGCGGACGACAATTTCTGAATCAGCGACTCCAAGTTGACCCTGCCCTGTTTCCAGATTCGGAACTCGATCAACGTCTCCGCGCTCGGCCTGGAGCTGTTCTTGGAGTGATCGTAAACGGTGGTCGACACGATACCCTCGAAATTCTCGACCCTCGGCAATTTGGGGAAGAAGCTCAGCTCGTCGGACGTCGCGGCTGGCTCACTTTTGTCGATGGTAATGGCTAACGCGATGCAGGCTATGCCTTTGCTGCCGCTCGAGTTGTAGCTCTGATTGTACAGGAAGATGTCCGACTCGGCAGCCCTCTTCCTCGAGCCGTCCAGCGGTGAGTAATCCTGAAAATGATGGTTCATGCCGAGATCGGTGTACTTGGGCGTGTACAGGAACTGCAATATGTTCTGCCTCAAGTAATAGCCCAAAGCGTCTATGTGAGGCACACAGTGTGGCTGCACGGACAGCTGAACGGTGCTCTCGGGAGATTTGTAAGGTTTTTGTATGAAGTGCACGTCCGCCGGCGTTAGCTTGCACATCGGATTGCGCGCCAACATTACGGACAGCACTTCCAGCACCGCGTCGTCGAGACGATTCTGCAGCACTTGCACCAGGTCCCGTTTCACCTCCGGGCCAGCCTCCGATATCCCGTGCACCATCATGATGATCGAGTCGCCGGTCTTGTTCAATATATCGGACTCCTTCTCGCCGAACGAACGGACTCGTGGTCGCGTGTCGTCCGACAACACGTGGTCGTTCGCGATGCCTTTGGTTCGCGACAAGGAGGCGACGCTGTTGCTGCGGGAGACCACCAGCTTCTCGTCGCTCTCGGACAATTTGTTCTGCAGGGACTTGCCGTCGTTCGTTTGCTCGTGAAGCCGCAGGTAAAAGACGTTCTTGTTGTTCTCCTGGTACACGAACATGTTGTTCCGATTGTTGACGGACAGCCTGTTCAGCACGCCGTGCAGCGCTGTGATGCCCCTCGACAGTCCGGATCTGCCGGGTCCGGTCTTGAGACGGGGATGTAGATTGAAGGGCTCCTCCCAGATCACGGGACACCTGAACATGCCTGGAGAAGCCGAGGCGTGATTTTGGAAGAGACTGCCGATGTCGCCGCCGGTTTCGCCCCTCCACGTGTAATCTTCGCTGGATTCCGGCTCCAACAGCGGGTCGCAAATGCGAGTGTCGTTGAGACTTTGCAAGAGCAGGTATTGATTCACCCGTCGGCATATGGCTTTGATTTGGGCGAGCAGCATCTTCTGTATCTGCGAATAACAGTCCACTTCCGGCGAGGAAAGCTCCAGGAATCTGTAACGAGGTTGCACTTGTTTTGGCACGAGCGTCTCGTTTCTGCGAGGTTGGATCTTTATTTTCAATCAGGTTATAAGTTGATCAAGGTTCTAATTAAAAATTAACCAAGTTAAGCTACAAGTTATATTAACTGTTTTCAACTTAACTTTCAACTGAGTTATTACTTCACCCTGCTGGTTTGTTACAGACGACTGTGCGAGCGAAGCACAAAGGAATACGAACCTGCAGTGAAAGTAAACGTTAACGTCGCTGCTCTCGACGCTCAGGATCAGCCAGAAATTCGGCAAACGGTTTCGGCGCTTGTCGAGTTCTATCAGCCATTGGAAATCGTCCTCGGAGTTGCTGCTGTCGCCGTCGTATCCGTCGTCCGTACCGTGTTTCCCTTCGGCTATACTCGAGATTTCTGAATAATAACCTGGCGCATCTCCCGAGTCCTGTCCGCTTACTTGAATTGCGGTAACTGGTGTCGTCGTCTCCTCTTGCTCGACATTTTCAACACCGTCATCTGTAAGCAATCGAACCTAGTGACTAAATCTTGAAGTCGACTCGAATATGCAAACCTTCCGACGAAAATACGCGCCTTCTTTCAATTGCGGTTCTTCCACGTCTACGGGTAACGCTTCGGGTCTCACTTCAGGGACCACCGCTTCCGGCTTCTTGATAAAGTAAAACAGATCGCTCTCCTGGCAGATGCAGTACTTGTCAATCTGGAGGCTCCTTAACTCCTTGAGGAACTTCGGCGCGCTGCTCTCCGACGAGAAGACGAAGTGCAAAGGCACCTTGTCCATCGAGCAGCTGGATCTGCCGGCGGAGTCCGACACGTGGTGCGCTATGAAGCGCAACGTGTCCGCGCTCGGCGACGGATGGTCCAGAAGCGCCGTCGCAGTTTCATCCCGCAGCAGCCACTCGATCTCATCCTTCAGGCTGATTATCGCGCTGTGCTGGTACAGCGGCAGGTTCGGCAATCTCTCCTGCATCGGCTCGGTCTTGGCGCTCGGACTGCCACCGTTGTCGGTGCGCACGCTACCGAACGGTGAGGCGCTGCAGTAAGACGTCGCTCTCAGCGAGGGGTAACGCTCCAACGACACCTCCAACACTTCTCTCGTTAGATTCAGGCATATGATGTCCAGAGTAATCTTCAGATAGTCCAGACTCTGCTCGGCGAGGTCCTTCTCCTTGCTGTCGTGTATCCTCTGGATGATCTCGGTGAAGCAAGTAGGCACTACCTTAACCGGTATGCTGGACAACTCGGAATGGAAATGTATCGAACAGCTTAGGTGCAGGAAAAGCGGTTGTTCCTTGTCCCACGTATTCTCCTCTTGAAGATCGCTTATAAGCGACTCCGTGGAGTCACGGTGAGACAGTTTCCCGTTGCTGTGAAGATTCACGGCCGGCCATGTGATATTGGCGGTTTGATTCACTGGTAACAAAGATGAACGCATGACACAAGCTCGATTGTTCGCGTTTTCAAAGTGCAACGTGTACTTTTTATCTACCTTGACTAGGGGAATTATCTACGTTTGGATCCAATATTTCAGAATGAAACGTGAATTCGTCGCTATCCGTCCTTTGCGACACCACCTCCTGCAAGTAGCACGTGATTTTTCGTGAAGGAACGACACTCGCAAACAGCCGATCGCGTTACGTACAAAGGAACGAACCATTTTGTCCGACACCCACGATGGCAGGCAGTAATAAAACTCCGGGTGAGCAGGTACGGGTCTAAAGGCGACCGCCATGATTCTCTTGAATTTATCCTTAATCAAATTGTGCAACGGCTTGACATCGTTGCACGCGGATACTTTTAACTGATCGAGTGGACTGTTCCTCGGCAACGTGCTCAAGTGCCTGCACACCGATCGTATGTAATTCGTAATGTTAATCTCAATCAGATTCTCCTCGCACTGCGCCACAGCAGCCTCCATGTCCTCGTAGCTCAAGGACTGTTGCAGCGCCAGCGACTTGTAGACGGCAACCACGTAACAATGACAGTGCGCTAGGCTCAACAGTTTGCAGTGTTCCATCAAACTTCGTTGATCTAGTACAGGAAATGACGAGGAGATTAGAAACACATCGAATCGCCAATACGACAACAATTATAAGTCATGCAATTACGTATTTCTTTAACGCTATGTTTCAACAGCGCGTTACAGCCTACCGCTGGAAACATTGTCCGAGTCCTCGCTTTTTGGCTCGGGGGACGAGGGCTTCGTGTTGCTTTCCGGCTTGAGATTGATGAAGTCCTCGCAAATCTCCTGGCCGATTTTGAACGTGTGATCCTGATAGATGTCTTTATTCTGGGGCGTTTGCAGCCGGCCGACCAGCGCGTCGATCAGCAACGCTAACGAGCAATCGTACACGTATACGGGTATGACAAGACTGTTCTCGTTGTCGGCATTTGCGAAATTCTGCTCCGCATTGGCCTTCGACGTGCTGTCCGCGGTGGTCGACTGACTGGAGATCTTCGACTCCCTGCGCTCCAACGTCGGGAAGTCGGGCGCATTCGTGTCCTTCGCGCACAGAGTAGGCGACAAGATCTTCTCGTTCATGTCGAGATCGAAAATGTCCGACTCGAAATTTTTCTCCGAATTATTGCTCGTGCAATTGTCGGCCGCGTACGCCGGGTACGTTATCAAGCGGACATCCTTTTCGGTCGCTGGTAAGATAGTGAGAATGACGTGCGTCGTGCTGATCCCTTTAACAAAACACTTCCATCTCGGATAAATATCCGACATGTCATCCTGACAGTTCTTCTCTGAAATGTAAGTCGCATGGTTCAATAGGCAGCAGTTCAAAAGCAGCGCCCTTGTTCTGTAACTCTTAACGCATGCGTGACGAAATGTATTACAAAATAGCTGCGCAACGTTGACGATCACGAAATTGTCGTTACGGAATAAAGGGAATGTGCTATTTAAGCGATAACGATTGCTGCGATAACGAGATGCTGATTCAACTTTCTACGATTTCGTGGTCCATCACGATTAAGAGTTACCCTCTTACCGAACTCCGACCAAGCTAATCGACTAACTTTCCGATTATTGTTGAACGACGCGAGTTACAGAACACTGGCGTGGGCAATTTTTATTATTACTCATTAATTAGCCGAATCAAAGTTAGGCGAAAGTCACCCTGAGGAATCTGATATTGTACCTCCTTGCAAAAAGAAAGGTAACGGCGGGCCGTTCTCTCGCGGCCTGCCAAGGAGCATCCTAGTGAATTTGTGCGACTCCGCCGACGTGAGCAGCAGCTCTTTGTTGTGCAGCTGTTTGATATGTTCCAAGAAGTTGCTCATAAGAATTTTATTCGCGCTATTTCTATCCTCGTCGATATGCACCGAATCTGACAAAGTAAAAGCAAGACATAAGACTGTTTCCTCTCGTCCGTCCGTTCTTACTCATCTAAGAGGCAAGTCCTCTTTTTCTCTCTACGATCTCGCGTGTCGTTTTACAGAACAGGAGTCTAACCATTGGCGAACATCGAGAACAATAGTTCCGCCTGCTGACACTTCGGCAAAATGCTCAGAGTGTCGAAGGAGAAGTACATCGGGTGGATCCTCTCGTCGATGATCGGCGTAGTTTCGAAAAGCTCGGCTGGGTCGGGGCATTTCGGCACGGTGGTGTCGGCGACGCCGTGATACCTGCCTCCCGCATGCGACTGCCCGAACACGATCTCGGTGCTCTTTTCCGCCGGCACCACTTGGCTCAAGAGGCTCAAGTACTCTAAGGTCATCAAAGCGTTAATACACTCCTCGTCTACTCGGGCAATCTGGCCGGACAGAAATGACAATGAATACATCAGACAGGAGATCAGTGAGCATCGATTACTTTAATATTACATGCGACAAGAGTACACATATTGACCCGCACAACGCCAAATAATAACATGCATGGGAGCGGCGGTTTTGGTCGACGAATAACAGCCTAAAAATACCATCACAGTTCTTTATCTTATGAATATCGTATCGCTGGAGTTATCGTTATCCTTCCATTTTCATTGAATCTTTTGTTTTATATTTAAAGGAGCTGTATCGAACATGATCTTTCGTGATCGAGTTTTTATTTTAAAGGACTCGAGTGAGGAAAAGGTGAGAAAAGAGTGAGTTTTCTTAAAAGTTAGGTGTTTCCAAGCGGAAAGAAGGGAAGAAAAAAATGAATCGCCCCCGTGCCTGAAATAATGATTCCAAGAGAATTCTGCGTGGAACGTGCAATAAACTGTTACACACATCGCATAGATAATATATTTAACTCATAATTCGTACATTCTAGGAATTCGTACATTCGACGGAGTACAGTGTGCGTGGTAAGTGTAACACACCTTCGCGGGTGTCGTGTGTTTTCGTTACATCTCAGTCTAATTCTAACGGCTTAATATACCGCAAAAGTATTCCGGAGAGATCTCATTTGCTCCAGCATTAAATTAAGCGCGACTTAGGCATTAATCTATAGTTATGGAAAGATAGAGAGAACACAAAGTTCGCGGTTAAAGTCTATTAAAGTCTATCTGTTAACAGCACTCCAGTCGTTCGGCGAGCAACGAATAATCACGGGTGGATGTTCACAAAACGGGCCGAGCACACCCGGAGAGCCGAAGAGCACCGGGGATCAGGAATAAGTTGGAGGAGTTGAATCTCACTTTCATACAAAGCGTAGAGACCACTTCTCCACTTGAACCGTGATACCCACTGGCCGCGCGGTCAGGCGCGGCGGAAGACAGCTCGGCCGGAGAACAAACAGCACTGTGTGCGGCAACGACGTGGAACCGCGCGATCCTGAGCTGGAAGAGTTAGATCTGGCAAGTTAATCGGGAGAGCTACGCCGAGCTCAATGCCTAGATCCTCACTTCCAACTGAGAGTCGCGCGATGTTTGAACGAGAATCCGAGGAACCGTGGCGACCGAGAGAGAGAGAGGACGATGCGTTCCCACGGCAGAGATGGCCGACCGTGATGTTCTCCGCCGTAATCTCATTTCGCGCGCGGAGTCACCTGATGATAAGAGACGCCGGTCTTACATCCAGGTGGGATGTACCTTTTCGGCAGAGGAGACTACGGAATTCACGGGCCGTCTCACCGTCACCACTGAGACACGAAGGCGAGGACGACGAGCGAGCGAGACGTGGCTGTGCCACGACGATGGTCGATGAGAATTACGTTCACTTCTAATCCGCGGGCGATAAAGGATCGTCACCAGGGAGCCCGGCTCGATAAGCGGCTCCGAAGCAATATACGGCGTTCGAATTACGCGAAAAAGATAATCCCGATCCACTAGTGAGCGCAGGGCGAGTATTGGGCCCTATATATACCTGAAGCGGCTGATAGGAAAACCTCTTTCCGAGGACCCTCATCGATACCGAAGCCCCACCCCGATAACGATAACGATACGTGGTGATAGACACCTCTCTCTCTCTCTCTCTTTCTCTCTCTCTGATCGCGGCCGATGCGAACCTCGCGACCACCTCGCCGAAAACGAGAGGCCGGTTTTTCGCAGACGAGACTACCGCGAGTTCTCATGGCCGGGTAGGAGCCTTCCTGAGAATTGGTAAAAACTAGATGTCCTAACGAGACGACACACCGAGATCTGTGCGCTATTTCTATTATCTTTCCGACGAGAGAGGAGGCGATGCAAATGAGGCTGCAAAAAGACATTGCGACAGGAAAAATCATTTGCCGTCGTTCTTGCGAGACAAATGTTTGCGGTATTCGCGACGTGACGATAACAACTTCCGATGACAGACACTGCTCCCCGTTAGCTTCTCTCGTTATGGATATAAATAGGGTCAGGCAGATTCACATAAGGGTGATCGATCGTTAATGGCACGAGTCGTAGGCGAATCTGAAACGACGTTGATGGAACATTTTAGGTGGGAACCGTTCGACTAAAAAGAGAGAAAGAGAGAGACGAGTCGAATATTTACGTTTCATGCGTCATCGGTTATCCGAGAAGGATCAACTGGAAACGCGGTATACGCTTTTTAGGAAAAAATTGAAATCGATCAAACAGTCGAGCGGAAACCGTGCCTGACTGACGAAGCGATTTCTTTTCGCGGAATAAAATTTAATTCGGAATATCAGTCCGGCGTACCTTGAAGTTTGGTCTTCTGATTAGCGACACTCTCCAGGTAACGAGTAAATCAGATAACAGTTATCTAGTTAATGTGAATTTATGCTAGAATTGTGTTTTTGAGCGCGCTTCGAGAACGAGAACAGGCTGCAAACATATCTGTTGTCGGGCGTATTTAAACGACAGAACGTCCTCCGCGCGTATTGCGCGAAAATCTATGGACGAAGTTGCGGCAATAATCGATAAGAGACTACGATGAAGAGGAAGAAGGAAGAGTCTGGAATGAAGTGTGGAAAGAAGTTCTCCAAGTTTCCAAATGCGACTAGTCATAGCGATATAGAGATTGGTAAACTGCGTTCTATCAATACGCACCCATCAATATATCGTTTAATCGACGGGGCGATTGAGCAAATCGACGCGTAAGAGAATTTCCTCGATATATAAAAGCTATAAGCTTTTTAATCCTAATTGTCCTTCACGAATGACGGTGCATACGAGAATTTTATAAGCGTCACTATCAATCGGACGATAAGATTGAAGATAAAGCTACATTGCGCGCTACGCCTCAAAATCAAGACGCTTAGGAGACATTTGTGCAAATTGTTCCAACATTATTGCACGCTGCCTTCGGATAAATGCTCGCAATTCGACATTCCTACTTTTTTTTTTCCTACGATCACCTTTTTGTGCCTATGGGGAGGCATTACGGAGTCTCGGTGTTTGTCAAAAACGCGTTACGAAACCGCCGGACTAGACCTAACGTATCGCTAAGCAAACAGGGTCGATTATTTCTAACAGAGGTGGTAATTCGGGAAAGAATATGTTTCCACCGGAAAACCTCGAGAAGAGACGCACGGCTGCCACGACAACAACGAATACATGGACGTTAAATATTACACGAGATACGACGAGCCGGGAACTAAGCTGAATCTGGTATCAGCCGAACGATGTTTACTGCCAGATAGACTCAGTACCTAGCAAAATAAAGCACTTTAGACAACTTTACGCCGGAATAATTTTTGTGTTACCACACGCGGCATTATCAAGTTAGTTCAAGATAAGGGAGATAGAAATAACGCGTGAAAGTACTCGTGCGTTCTACAAAGTTGTGAAATCAAGATCAACACAGAGTATCGGTTGAGACCGAAGTCATCGAAATTATATATCGATCAGTTTTTATGGACGGACCGTTTCGGGCCGGAGTAGCAGCTACCTGTGGTACGGCAAGGATACGCGGCGCCGCGGAATTTTCTTCGAATATTGTTCGAGATTATGAACATCGTTAGATATAAAGACAAGTTTACTACACAAACATTCCCGGCTGATGGAAGAGGAATTTTTAATATTCCGACGCCTTCGTAAATCACGTATCGCGCGACATATCTCACGGAGCTATCGAAGGAAGATATCTTATCGCTCTCTCGAGACGTGTTCAAGGAATTAACGGAGTCTTATCAATTCAAGCAGGTTACACGGATGTTTTATAGTGGAGCGGACTACACGTTTAGAAGTAGACTAGATATCATTGCGGTAGAAATTTCTCGCGACTGAACACGTGCAACGATCAAATGGGTCACGGGAGAGATAACCGTTCATAAACCGGTGTCTTGAATTAACAGATCCGCGATGAAAGAGCGAACGTCTGGGCGTATTAGCCGTTCCGGAGCTATTATCATTCGGCCATTATCAATTCCTCTGTTAGCCGATGACTCAACACAAATGACACTGAAATTTTTATCGGGAATTGCCGCGCATATACTCACCGCGTCTGGTAACTGATGATACTGCAGTGGATGCATGTAGGTAGCGGTCGACTGCGTAGGCATTTGCACGTAGCCGCATTGCGGCTCGATCCAGACCTCCGTCACGATCTGGTACTCGCTCGAGCTCTCGCAATCCTCCTGCATACTCGCCTCCCCGTCGGCGGTGCCTGAAAGCGTCCATGAATAATTCCCAACGTTCGACAAACGGCCGGCAATGCCCTACCTTCTTCCGTGTCCTCCTCGGAGCCGCTGTCGCGTTCCAGCGTCGCGTTCGACACAGCGTGAGGCGGGAAGAGAATGTACTGTATGATACACGGATAAGACTCCTTGTTTCCGCCGAAGCCCTGCATCTGCACCTCCAACACCATATTCGTGATGCCGGCTGCCGAATAGGCAAAGTTGAAGCCCTCCGTCAAACGTATTCTGCAAATAGAGCGCGGATGAGAACACCGCGGTCCCGAGCAGAATATGCAAAAATGTACTCACTTCGTGATCGTGGAGAGTATCCTCGCGATCGCGGTGATGTTCAATTTCGGCAGGGTGATACCCGGGATGGTCTGCACAAGCGGCCGCTTCACGTGCCACAGCCATCGATTGTGGTACAGGTATCTAGACAGAGTGATGGTCAGGCTACCACTCAGCACCGGCGCAGCCCTGGTCCACGTCGGCTGAGTGCCGTCGGGGAACACCACCATGCTCAGGTCGTTCGGTATACGCTCATATCTTATGAGAATTCTCTCGAGCGATTTGTGAATGATCGTGCAACACGGGGTCTCGCGTTGCTCCGTCGGCCTGTTCGGCAACGTCAACTTGGACAATCTGTCCACGAGGTCCACGACCACGTTGTGACGGACGACACCTTCGGTGCCGCCGGCGAATGCTATATTGAGCACGACGCAGAGCGCTTTGCAGTTAATGCGGATCAGCGAGAACGACACCGGTGGTTTCTCCGCCTCCCTGTATATGAACTGAACGTACGTGTGGTTCTCGATCAGCACGAAGGTCGCCCAGTTCTTCAGCATAGCGTACAGAACGGCCGCTGCCTGCCGGCTCTGGACGCACTGGAAACGACCGCTCTGATTCGCCTGGTGAAGATGCCTCGGCAAGGGCCTGTCGTACGACAGGATCAACGTGACTCTCTGCGTGTGCATCCAGCGCGCCCACTGAAGCGGGTCCAGGGAGACGACTGGTTGCCATATTTGCCCGAACTGCGGGCAGGCTGCGTCGCTGAAACAACGCGACTCGTCAGGTTTCGTATCCACCGTAATAATCGTTTGTACAAGCAAATTAATATACCTAAGTTGTACTGTACTTGGTGACGGGTAGGACGACAAGTAAAACACCGGCATCCCGCTTCGAATGGTGTCCGGGACGCTGTACCAAGTCCATCCGGATCCTGGAAACCAGCTGAAGTGCGCCAAAGTATTGTCGCTCTCGGTCAAGGACGTCAGTGCCGTCCAGAAGCAAGAGACGACTCCCTGACGGTAATTCGACTTCAACGGCTTCTTCGACAGGCATGTGATGTCGTGTAAAAACTCATACGGCGCTGCAACCAAAACAATTGGAGCCACAAGTGATTATTCGACGTTCTCGAGAAATCGCCCTTTAAACCTTACCTTCTATGGTGATAACGTATTGTATCACATTGGACTGGGACAGTGATTTCGAAGACCACGGGCACGTGACCAGATATTCCAAGGAGACGTTGCTCTTCCACAGCAGCACGAAATTGATCTCAAGAACGTCGTCTCGTACGCCGGCCCTTTTTATCAAATACCCTTCCCTCAGACGGCAACACAGCAAGCTGCTCAAGGTACAGGTAACCTTGTCGTCGATCTGCTTCTTCCTCAGCAACTGATCGGTTTTGTGCCCGTCGAAGCAGTTGTTCTCAGTTCGCCAACAGATACGACTGTCCGGCGTACTATCGTAGGGCACATCTCGATACAATTGCCAGCAGAGGAAATTCCTGTGGTAAAGATTCATATCCGTTCCATGTGCAGATACCTGCTCGAAGAAGAAGAAGAAGATATCACCGCGACGAACATTGCGAACGCGGCAGTTGAGGTGAAAGATTTACGTACAACGTATGAATTGAAGGACATGTAACTACCGAGCGTAGCAGCAGCGATGAAATATAGCAGATCTTGGTACGGTACTAGACCGTCCGCGCAATGCGGATGATACGCGCTCCCCACGTGTAAAAAACTGCACGCGACCGTCGTTGCGCGCAGTTGTTGCACGATTGAGTCTAACGCGTGAACGTCCTTAACTCCGACGATACCGTCCGAGATTACAACCATGTCTGAAAATTTGAATTCACACACTCTTCACCCGGTGCTGCATAACGTAATGATCAATTAGAGTGTAATTATAAATCGCACTCACGTGCGCAGCTGTGCTCAGGCAAGAGTGTTAGAGCTAGCATTCCGTATCTCAGCATATTTACAAAACTGGCTTCCGGCGAAACCATGGAGATATTGGCTGTACAACTACTGCTACTTTTGTTCAAGCAGTTACCGCTCTCGTCGAAGAGCCCACCCACCAAACGCTCGCTTTCCGCTCTTAAATGTTCTAATTGCTGATTAGCTACAGCGGTAACGGTCGCCACTCTCTCCTCCAACAAGTACAGTTGCTTCTCGACGTACTGCGTTAGAGAGTTCACGTTATCCGCGGTGATCAACCACCCTTGTACCAGTACTTGCTGCGCCGGGTTTGTAAAGAATGGCGTATGAGCTATCACAGTCACATAAATCTCAGGTTGCATCACACGCTTGCTGCCTGGTATCGTAAACTACAGGTACAAGTGAATTAAGAAGTCTCTCTTCTCTCTCTACCTCTCTTTCTTTTTATACACACTTATAGAGTATCGGAAAGCTACTTACTGGTCTGGTTATGCCTTCCAGACACCGCTTAGTCGCTAGGCATACTTCGTCAATAACAATTTCCCCGTGTTGTATATCCTGCAAAATTTAATCAAGCTTCTATTTGGACTCTAACATAAAGTGATATCGACAAATTATGCATATCTTATCACTTACCACAGTGGCAAGAGACGGGCTTAAATCTAAACTAAAGACCATCCTGTATTTGTGCGCGAGGAATACAATCGAAGTTGCGGAAACAACTTTATAAAGAAATTGATGGCTAGTATCTATAGACCAAGCTGTAGGCTTATCTTTTGGCAACACCGATACAATTTCCAGTTCGGGTGCCTCTTTATTTTTCATACTCGGACACTGTATGCTTATCACAGAGTCCAAATGCTCCAGCAACCATTGGGCCCTTACATTGCGAGAGATGGGGAAACCCTTCTTCATTAGTAAAAATACCGTTTCCGCTTCCAGAACGGTTCTTTCCTGGGTGCAAGAGAAAAAAAGCGACAGTTAATGAAAATAATAATTTTGCTGGGTGTCATCGTTACTTCGAAACATCGCGACACTTCTTCTCGAGCGATATAAATGCGCAGAAGAGTGCACACAATTGTTCTGCCCTCAGAAATCATAATATTCGCATTACAAGGACTATACGCGTTGTCAGCGTATTGACCGATTCATATTGTTGTCATAAGAAGAGGTTATGTCGTGCACTCGTGTATGCACCTGTGCGACCGTCGACGACGTGATGAAAACTGTCGCGGCACAGACTCACCTCATTTTTTGTATTACTCGCCATGACTCGAAACGCGAACGTTCTATCAGTCCATTATTATTATTATTATTATTAAGATCATTGCACTTCTCGACAGGTCGTCGTCACGTTGCGCGGAAAATAAATCATCGCGATGTCATCGCGAATGCACTGCGCTGCACCACAGCAGCAACAGGGAAAACTGTCGACGCGCACAATTGTCCAAAGGTCATATTGTGTTGTGTCTATTTATTTCATCACCGCGTGCTATATTTCACTGCTGGCGAACGATAAACATAACGCAACATAACCTACGGCGCACACTTTTACCCACGTCCACGTGCACATCTGCGAAATTCGAGCGCGAGTTTAAAACGCTCGCAGGGCTTTCAAATCCTTCGCCAGGCTCCGTGACTTCGAAGTCTCGGCCAGTAACACCGCACTGCGTCGCGTTGCGGACATTCGCGTGCCGAACGTTTCGAACGGAAATCTTTTTCGATAAAGCTTCCGCGATAAATACCTCTCCGCCGTACATAAACGTTCATCTCGTTCGTAAGTGTGAACGAATAATACGGCCGCAATAAACGTCGGCAGAGACGATGAATGACACGGGGAAACCGGAAAGTGAACTCCGCGTCGTATATTGAACGGCGTAAATCGTGCATCTTGACGGAAGATCGATCGTCATTCGTATCGATTTCACGAAGTTATCGCTATATTTGGAAATGGCGCGTCTCGTAATCGACCGTATGATCGACTGCCGGTACGTATGAAATTGACCGTTCGATGAAAATCGAGATGAAGAAATCTCGATTATCGACATAGCTGAAATCACTTAAACATTGTCGATAATCGATAAATCCGAAATTGTTTTATTGCAATAATGGCATTTATTTGTTAAACAACGGCTATATAACACCCATTATGCGCAAAAATATTTCACGAAATCTAATCTAAATCAATTTTTCATTTTCATTAATCAGACAAATATAAAAATGTTCGAAGCCGGATTGGTTCTCGCATGACGAAACTAAGATAGCAACTCACTTAACTCGTAAGAATAAATATTATGCCACATATGAAATTATTGATTATTATTATCATTACGATTGCTGCCATAACAAACCACTCGTACGCATATATAATTGATAATATAAAAATATTTTGAATAAGCGATTAGTATCGTAATGTAAAACACCATTTCAAAAGTGTTGAGAATATTACAAAATGACAATTTCATAACCCGTTTCCGATCTAAGAAAATGTTAAGAATGTTTTCTATTGCTCTTACATTATCTTGTACGACGGTACTTCCCAAGTAGTACCATTAGCTAGTAGTAAGTAGTACCATTCGCTCGTCGCGCAATATATCGATATAACTTCTTCGCGTCAATGGGATTCCCAGAAAGGAAAGAGGAAGTACTATAAGCGGATCGTCATACTTGTCGATCTTTCTGTCATGCTTTCGCACACGTAAACTCCCTTCTTGCGATAGACAAGGTCGCATTTACCAACTCATAGCATTACCGAGTCGGAGCTGTTTTAATTTCCATCTGTTTTTATATTTATAACGCTGTAAAACGCTTAGTCACTATGCGTATACGAGAATTTTCTATTTCACTGAATCGGAGGATTACTATTATATTAGAATTTACTGTGCAATAAAATACAAAGCTCTCATATTTGTCTTATGATCATGATGAATGTGTCAAATTTTGAAATTTATATAATGTACAATTAATTTTGTGTATTGTGTGATTTAATTTTTTGTATCAGATATATATAGAAGAAATATGTCATGTTAAAAATTTAAAGGAGAAACAATATGTCATGTTAAAAACAAAATTTATTGATTAAATATAATTAATCTTTACCCAGTGCGCAGATTGTGTACATAATCAGTGTGTGGTGTGCAAAATTGACAGATAAGATAATTTGAAAACAATTTTTAAGATATCTTAAAATTCGTTAATGCATAGGTCTCAAAGCTGATTGTCTCTCTCACCTTTGAATACATTTATTTGATAATATTTAGCTATATATTGATTTGATAAATGAATATCAATAGTTCAGCGACCAATGATTTAGAAGGACATGTCAGCAATAATAAAATCACAAAAACGATTATGACGAGAACGCTCGTTGTTTGCGTGTGGTTCGCTTATATTAAGCTTCGAAACATCCAGAAGCAGTTTAGTCGCAGAAACTCATTCACTTGTGAAACTTCCTTCGCGTGAAATATATTTGCAAATTCTATAGAAGTTTTCGATTGGCTGTTGAGAAATTTAGCTTCGAGCGTTTAATACTAGTAAAATCGACTCTTTTTTTTTTTTTCAAAACTCGTGGGTAGCTGATATATGAAGAAGAATTAACTGAAAGTAATTTTTGGCGGTCACAAATCGAAAGAAATTCTTGCGTTCGTACGTTCGTATCGCGAAGGACCATCAATCGTCAACCTACTCTCGAATTTGTTTTTCTTATCATGGTAAGTGTCACAGGTCATTGCGATATTTTCATTTACAAATTCTGAGCCACTTGCACCAACTCCGGTTAATTTAACCGACTAACTCAACGGAATCGATCAATCGCATTAGCCAATTAGCTAAACTGATCAATGCAATTGATCGATTCCGTCGAGTTAACCAGTCGGTTAAGTTAATCGGAGTTTTGTTGCAAGTGGTCCTCTGACTGTCAATTATATATGCGTTATTTTACTAATGGCTCCATCCGTAATGCATAATCATAAATATGAATTTGAACGATAACTTTATCGGTAAATTAAAATTTAGCTACTCTATCTTTCGGCACATTGTTTTTGACATAAATTTATCCGTCAAGAGAAACTAATTTCTGGTTATAATGCGTATAGTTCTCATACACCGAGGTATTCAATGCTGAAAAGAACCGCGTAATTAAAAAGTGTTTAGTCATGATAAAAAAAATTAATTTTCACGTCGTCGCGTAGTGACGCAAGCAGATAGATTTTGTTGCGAAGTATTCATGCAAAAAAGAACATTCGACATTCTTGTCCGTGTCTCTTCTTAATGAAAGATTCATTTGGTATCAGCGTGAGTACTTTATAGTCTTCGCATAATAAATAACGATTAAGAAAGCGAATTATTCATTATTCGTCGGTTTATGCGATGTCGAGACCTTGCATATCGTGTGCGACAAACAAAAAGTTATCAGTATGTAATACATCACCGATATTTGCGCATGGGAAATCCTTTCATTGGTCTTATCGCGTTTAATTCAATCTGTACTTAGGAGAGGCTGGACTTTATCATTTCTTTTTTTTTCTCGTATTCAGTATTGAGTGAAATTAATCGACGCGATGATCAAAGCGTTGGAAAGTCTTGATCGAAATCTATTCGGCGAATTCCGGTTACGTACACGCGTTGACTTGCCAATCAGTTGCGAATGAACTGCCGAGGCGGAAGGTTGTTTCGAGGTTAGGAACTCTTTCGCGCTCTCACAACCAATTGAACTTTCTCGTTCGTATCTACGCTACAATCGAGGCGTTCCGAAGGAATTTCGAACTAGCTAAAGTCCGCTGCTTTCTGCTTTCAGCTGATCCAACAACTATTTCGACAGATTTACAATTATCTTAACGCCAACGTCGCGAAAGGTAATACATTCACCATTTCGAATGACCACGAACAGGTGCTACGTCATATTGTCGCTTTCTCTTTTACCTACTTCCATCTCGCTCGAAGGTCATATCATTACCGTAGCTTTTATATCTAAGTATGAAGTAATTGTTATCGTAGTTATCTAACATCATCGCGCCTCTTCCCCCCTCTCTGATTTTTGCGTGCGGATATTGTGTAATATTTCTAAGACAATAGAGAGTCTGCCACGTTACCTTGATCTGTGGTTTATAATTTCGCATTTAACAACGTCATCAGACTGCTATTAAGTTATTCTCTTTATTCATTTGTAGATTTACTTTTTGTGTTGCATCACATCACATGTATACGCATGTACGATTCTCTTGTATTTTTTCTTAGCTTCATTTAAATTCATAAGTTTTATCTATATATCATTTTCGAACACAATTATATGTGAGAAATATCTTTAATATTTTGCAATGTATTATAATGCATTATAATATATACATATATTGTATAGCTATATTGTTGAGTATTTTGTGTTACATAATTCGGTATATTTCCAGGGCTTTTGCAAATCATGCCGTGTCCATTCCTTACCCGTTTGCCCGCAAACTACGTACGCAATTACGGACCGTCAGTGATAATGAACTACCGGCAGCATTGCCCGGTAATGTCGAAATTGTTTAGTACAATGACCGTCGAGCCCCAGCCAATGCCAGAGTGCATGGAGAGCCAATGTCCATTCTTGTCGAAAAAACCGGACGCTGTGAAGGAGGCCAGCTCGGCAGTGAAGGAAGATATCATCAGTCTGGGTTCCACGGAAGAGCGGAAGGAGGGGGCGCAATTCCCGTACGAGGAGTTCTTCCACGAGCAGATCATGCGGAAGAAGAGGGACCATTCGTACAGGGTGTTCAAGAAGGTGAACCGTCTGGCTGAAAACTTTCCAGGTGCCATGGAGTATTCATGGGGCGAGAAACCCATCACCGTGTGGTGTTCCAACGATTATTTAGGCATGTCGCGTCACCCTTCGGTGACTAATGCGGTGCGCAAGGCTTTGGACAGGTTCGGCGCCGGGGCCGGGGGCACGAGGAACATCTCCGGCAACTCCATGGGCCACGAAATGTTGGAGAAGCGGCTGGCGAAGCTGCACCAGAAGGATGCCGGGCTACTCTTCACCTCTTGCTTCGTTGCCAACGACTCCACCTTGTTCACTCTAGCGAAAATTCTACCGGGCTGCCACATATTCTCCGACGCCGGAAATCACGCGTCCATGATACAGGGTATCAGGAACAGCGGCGTGCCGAAGCACATCTTCCGGCACAACGACGCGCGGCACCTGGAGGAGCTTCTGTCGAAGGTGAACAAGAGCGTTCCGAAGATCGTGGCGTTCGAGACGGTGCATTCCATGACCGGCGACATCTGTCCGCTGGAGGAGATGTGCGACGTCGCGCATAAATACGGCGCGATCACGTTCGTCGACGAGGTCCACGCGGTCGGGCTGTACGGCTACTCCGGCGCCGGTATCGGGGAAAGGGACTGGGTTCTACCCAAGATGGATATCATTTCGGGCACTTTGGGAAAAGCTTTCGGCAACGTGGGCGGTTACATCGTTAGCTCGTCGAACCTGATAGACATGATAAGGAGTTACGCAGCCGGCTTTATTTTTACAACTTCGCTGCCGCCTACCGTGCTGTACGGAGCCTTGACATCCGTCGAGATTTTAGCATCGAACGAAGGCAGATCGTTGAGGGCGAGTCACCAGAAAAACGTGGCCTACATGAAGTCTATTATTACTGCCGCTGGTCTTCCGTTAGAGCCGTCACCTTCGCACATCATTCCTATAAAGGTGGGTGAGCTAAACGGAATGATAGAGTCGATTAAACAATTGGCTAACTAAGCGACATTACGTTTGCCCTTTTAGATAGGAGACCCGCTGCTATGTAGCCAGATAGCAGACCATTTGTTAAGGGATAAGGGACACTATGTGCAAGCTATAAATTATCCTACGGTTCCCAAGGGTGAGGAGAAGTTGCGATTAGCACCGACTCCGAAGCATACCGAGGCCATGATGGATCAATTTGTGCGAGACACGTTGGACGTTTTCCATCGATTAAATGTATCTAAGGTGGGGATTAAGCAGGACCAAGAGCCACCACGCGCCATTCTGGTTCATTGACGAATGTACATGAAACTGCAAACAGTCGTCAACGTACAAACATTATTTACTCGTGTAAAGATGTTTATTTATATAGTTTGTTTTTATCTGTGTTTTTTCGCCGGTATTTTAAATTACCGGTATGAATCCCACTATATATATTATCCAAGTTAACTCATTAAAAGAGGTTTAAATAAAATGTTAACTGATAACCCATCAGGCTCTCGTGTATACATACTTCCTGTACTTTCTTCTTGTGATTAACATTCGTAGCGAAATATGGTGGTTCGAGCGATTATTATTCGAGTCTGTAGTAACGAGATATTTCGAAATCCGTTTGTACAAATGTGATGTTTAGAATTCCTTATCGTTATCGCTCGAGCAGTTTAGCGATATCATTGCGTAAAAAGCCTTTCATTCCGTCGGGTTCCGTTAAGATCTAAACGACTCACTTGATTTCAAGTATCCGCGCATGCGCGTCGACGCATCTCGTCTGTCGTCTGCAACAACTATCAGTGCTACCTTTCTCGGGTGTTAGTTTTTCGCAAGAACGATTATTTCTCGCCTGTTTGTGATCCATCGACCAGAAGGCACGCATGTACTCGCACGGAGATCGGGAAGCTCGGTGCGCATCTAACGCGTCACTCTGAGCGTCGTTCGCTTCGACTGGTATGTCTATCGGCGAACGCGTATAGGTTAGGATGAGGGGTCTCGTCAACGTCCTGAAGATGCTCGTCGCGTTTTTCTACAATTACGCGCGCGGGTTGTCTTACACCGTGACGACGATACTCGTGCTGTGCTACTGCCTCCATCCGGCTCGATTCGCCTCCCACTATACCTTCATCAAGACCGAGAACATCTACGAGGAGATGGAGAGGTCGTATCCACCGAGGGACAACTCTTGCGTGATCTCCGTGAACGGTAGGCGGCCGTCTCAGTTGCTCTACCCGGAGGAGCATCCCAGGGAAGACCCGGTGGCGATGGCACGTCGCCTCGGCATTTTGCCGGGCGGTCAGTGGAAACCCCTCAACTGTCATCCCCTCTTCAATGTGGCAATCATACTGCCTTATCGCAATCGGCAGAGTCAGCTCGCCATTTTCATGAATTACATACATCCGTTCCTGCAATCGCAGAACCTCGACTACCGGATATTCGTTATCGAGCAGAGTCCAATGCGGGAATTCAATCGCGCCAAGCTGTTCAATGTCGGCTACGCCGAGGCCACCAAGATCAATGACTTTCACTGCTTCATCTTCCAAGACATAGACTTGATACCGCAAAATCCCGACAATATCTACGCGTGCACCAAGATGCCCAGGCACATGAGCTCCAGTGTAAATATCTTTCGATACAATCTACCTTACACCGGCTTGTTCGGAGGCGCGATATCGTTAACGAGGAAACAGTTCGAGAGAGTGAACGGCTTCTCCAATGTTTTCTACGGTTGGGGCGGAGAGGACGACGACTTTTACAATCGCTTACAATCCAGAGGCTTGCAGGTTTGATCCGTATAATTCGTTAAAATTGCGACGACAGTTGTTACTCGAAAGAACATTAGGTTACATTGCTTCTTTTTCCGGCCAGATCGCACGTTTCGGACCCGACGTGGCGCAATATTACATGTTGACGCATAAGAAGGAGACCCCTAGCACTGCGAGATTCGCAAATTTGGAGAGCGGTGCGCGAAGATACGACACCGATGGACTTAATAATCTCGAGTACAGAGTATTGAATCATCAGTTACGACCATTGTACTCCTGGATTCTGGCTGATGTGTAATAATTTGTATAGGTTGTGTAAGTTTTTTTATCCGATATACCGTAACATATCTTTCTTAAGTCGGCTATAAGTTACGATATAGTATTTTTTAGGAACAAAGTGTGAACTGTCGGATTTGTCAGACACGCATAATTGTTAGTGCCCCGCGATAGGGAGCATTGTATTTAAACTCTGCAAGCATATTTATTATTAATACTGAAAATACTCACATTTCGTGCATCGAATAAAGCGTCGAACAATTACAGTTTGAAGATAATGACGACTATTTTATAGCGTGCGTGAGTCTACGGTTACAAACGCCTTTCCGATGGTACCAGTATTGATTGCTACAGCGATAACAGTAATTAATTGTACAAAACTTGAAGAGAGAACGCGTACTAATATAGTTATATAAATGATAAGGATTGAAGACTGTAATCATCAGAAGTGTTTCTTTCGTATAACTCGTTAAACTGAGAGAAAGCAATACCACATTCGAGATATTCCCCGAACTATTAAATAACTAAATGCTACATTAAATTATATATATTTAATTTCATGATACTTTAATCACACGATTACATTTGTCATATAAGAGAATCGCAAATGTTTAATGGTACAAACTTATTCCGTAGAAAATACATTATTATAGCCTTTTGATGATGTTTACCTCTGACCAAAGATATTCTAGTCCTTGCATGTTTTTTGTGTTGTGTGATTATGATAATACAGTGATCTTTTATTGGTTGTTTCCACAAAAAGTTTAGATATAAAATATGTAGATTTTTGTTAGATAACAAAGTTTGACGAGGTATTTTGTAAGTACTTAAATATAAATGTGATTAGAGAACTCTCTTTAAGAGCGCTCACTCTTTACCGATACTTATAGCACTAATTTAATACTACAAACCTGATTTTCTATAAAAGTCATGAATAAAATATAATATAGAAGTATCGAATGTTTCGTTTTACATTCCTGGAGACGTGGACAAAAAATAATAGTGACAGAATAATGATTAATATAACCTAAGTGTATGTTATGACGATAAAGTATATTATAAAACTAATATGCGTTCAATAATAATAGAGAGAACACAAAGGTCTGCACTTGTATCTTTCAATGTAGAAATTTCTGAACGGACTACACTGTGTTCGGAAAATTTTTCTACTCAATATTGTCTTTGAATATTTGAGTATGTATTTATTGTTTCGAGAGAGCATCACACTCTTTGCAGCAATATGGAAACTGTAGATCTTTTACATATTTGTATTGTTAGATATTATCGTATCTGTTAAGACAAGTAGATTTTCAACGAATTTATAAAGATTTTACACTTTGTTTACACATAGGTATAATTTTTTTAAGGACTAAGTCGAGTTATCTTTCTTGTAATTCTTGAGAGATTCGAATGTTATTTGCAATATATTATAAATTATACATATTACAGTTTATTGCTCATAAATATTGTAACCTTCCCGTGGTAAGATTATTTCTAGAAAGGAGAGAGGAAAATGTGTCTCTGATTAGAATGGTGCCGTAATCTAACGAGGCAAGTTTGGAAAATTTAATGTGTATAAAAAAAATTACACGTGCAATATGCAAGCAATAATGCCACATGTACATTTATTAATTTGTCTCGATTCCTTATTTAATACATGATTCTTTTACGATGACTCTTTAGAAAAATAACAATAAATTGTAAGAATGATGTTAGAGATGTGTATGTATAGTGATAAGTGTAATGTACGATCATTGAAATGAGACAAATATGATAAAAAAAAAAGAACTGTGAGTACACGGATATTTGCTCTGTATCTTCATACCCAGCTCTTGGTATATTCAAACTATAAAGGGAATGAAACCCAGAAGATTTCATTGCGATGTAATAAATATATGTACTTGACACGAATTTAGACGTACGAGATAAGAAGAGATAGAGGACAAATATTTTCTTTTTTTTTACAAAAACATGAAATCAATGTATCAACAACGATACTTTCGCGAAGAAAAGGTTCATTTTGTTTAGAATATATCAAGAAAGCCCGAGTATTTCTATGCCACGTGTACGACACGCTCATAGTACTTTTAAGAATCCGCCGTATAAGCCGTTTATTAAGTCACCAAATATGTAACATTATGCGATATTTTTTTAATTTACATCTCGTATTCTGCGCACACACAGAATTCAAAAGAATCAATTGAAACGATCGGATCCATAATCGCTTGATCTTACCACTGGTATTCAGCTGTACATAGTTTATTCTTGGGCAAGAGAATTATTGCATCGCACAATGATACGGCGCTCTTATTATCTCCCAAGTGCTTTTTATCCTTCCCGTGTCTAACGTTGGGAAGTGTATCTTTCGAAAAAAGCCATAGGCGGGTCCAGCTCGAAGGAAATTAGATACTTATCACTGAATTCGAGCGATACGCACACTCTGACGTTATATAAATAAAATTAGGAAATAGCGTGTCTATTCTGACGAGAGAACCCTGTATATTTTTTTTTTCAAGAACTTTCTTAATATATAGGATTCTACGTAAATATCACCATGTGTGAAGCGTATGAAAACAGAATTCTGCATGAGGTTATAAGAAATAACTGCATGGTTACTTCTGTAGTCCCAAGAATCGGCTATCATTGTGCAGTTACCAGTAAGTAGCTATTACAGTAACCATTATCATATGATAATAATAATGTGAGCGTGTAAATTACGTATCTATGGAAAATCGAGTATGTATATATTTATATGTATATTTATATATATATTCATATATATGTACGCATGTACATATATAAAATCTATCATAACCGTTGTATCTTTTCTATTCCGTGTATCTTCGTGTATCCGTATTACGTATCGGACAGTTCTTGATACCGTGCGTACATCATCTTTTTCACGCAATCCTTGTACGTGTCGCCCGGCAACGCGCTGTACGACGAAGTCTTCGCTCCTAAGCCGGCCGTGGGCACGCGTCTCTCGGCCTCGATAATACTCGTTCTACCTTGATTCGACTTCCCTAAACCCATCCCTTCGCTCCAGCCCATTTTCTGCAGTAGCTTGTTGCCGACGTTGTCGGACCCGATGCCGGCTCTCGTTGGTTCCTCGTACGACACCGACATCTCCTCCACTCTCGTCTTCAAGTACTTCTCCTTCAGCTTGTTAGGCTGCGGCGGCTCGGGTTCGCCGTACTTCGCCCTCCTCTCCTTCGCGCGATCTCTGTACTTGTTGTTCCTCTGTTGCGGATCGTTGGGATCCAGACCGCGCACCTGGTACCAATTTTCCAGATTCTGCTTGTGCAGATCGGACAGTTGTTGGTGCCGCATCAACGCCTCCTTGCTCGGGAACTGCCGTTTGCAAAGCAGACACGCCAGCTTGCTCCAGTCTGTGTGCTGCTTCTCCTCCTGCTGCACATCCTCGATCTCCTCTTCGGTGTCGCTACCACCGCCGTATGCAGCCACCAAGCCATTGCCGCTCTGATCCTCGTCCTCGTGATAAGGATTCGCGACGGTTTTCTTTTCCAAAATAGCGTAGCCTGCGTCCGCTGCGCCGCTCCCGATACCTTGATTGCCATCCGCGCCAGCAAAGTCCGAGTTCCAATTGCTCTTCGCGTTCTCTTTCTTCTGGTTCAAGGTCTTCGCCCAACGCTCCATGTCCTTCGCTATTTTCTTCGCTACCTTCACTTTGTCCTGTTTGTCCTTCTTCTTGCTGTCGTCCTCTTTCGACGCCTCTTGAGTCGCGCTGGCGGCCGACGAGGTCGTAGGCTGATTGTTGGTGGTACTCGCGGAATCCGTGCTGCTCGCCGTCGCCGTTATGGTGGTGCTGGTCGTAGCTCCTTGCGTCGTACTCGCGGTGGTCTGCAAAAATTGAAAAGTGAAAATGTCGCGTCTTGAGATGACTCGAACTATCCTCCTCCGTTACCTTGGCTGGTTGGTACGAGAACGATTCGGCGTCCCAATAAAGAAACTGTTGCGTGTGGCTGTTGTAATAATATTGCGAATTCGGGTCATAATACAATCCCGTGCTGGGATCGTAATAGTAGCCGGACGATTCGTCGTAATGGTAAGTGCTGACGTCCGGTACGGCTGAAAGTACAATATCGCGCGCAAGTTAGCTTCTCTCGAAATAAAAGTATGTATTTCAAGTAGTATAGACTCTTTCCCTCTCTCACTCACTCTCACTCTCCGGGGACTCACAATATACTTTCCCGTCGCTGGAATGCGCGGGAACCCTTCCGCTCGCTAACGTCGTGCTGGACGGCGCCGTAGGCGTTGGCCGTCCCTTCACGTCGTCGTTTTCGCCCAACTTCCTGGAGGCCTGCAGCTGCTGTATGGCCGACTGCGCCACCGCCGCCGCCGCGTTCACACGGTCCGTCTGGTTTAGAGAGGGCAGCGTGATCGCCGAGCCCTGCATTATCTGATTCTGATAGTACTGCGTGTAATACTGAAGGTATTGGGACTTCTGTACGGGCGTCGTGGCGTACAAGTTCGCGCTGTACTCGGCCAATTGCGCGACGTCGTCCAGCGTGTATTTCTGCGGCTGGGCGTCGTTCGACTTCCACGCGTTCGCGTTGTTGATCTGATGGAGCTTGCAGTAAGTGATCTCCACCTTCCTGCCGTCCACCACCAGCCCTTGCTTCGTGAGCGCGGTGTGCAGATACATCGCGTCCACCACGTTGCCCATTTCTAAGTAGCACACGCCTCGGGACGTGTTGGTGAGGGAATCGCGACCGATGCGAATGCTGCGTATAGGCATCGACGACAGATTCTTCATCGCCTGGAGAACCGAGTCCTCGGTGGTCAATACGTCCAGCCCGCGCAGGAGCACGGTGTTGGTGGGATGCGGACTGATCTCGTCGCTACCTTCCCCACCTTCCTCGCTTTCCGCTCGCGAGGCGGAGCATTTGAAGCAAGTCTCGCGCCTCTTAAAATTGTGCGCTCCACACTGCAAAAGAAAGAGAGAGAGAGAGTTAGTTAACGAGTGACTACTGATGTACAATTTACGGAGCGAAACTCAACGCACCTTGACGCAGTGCCAATCTTGAGTGTTCTTCGCCGGCGGTTTATCCACATGGCACTCCTTCGGTATACTGTACTGCATCAGAGCGCGATATTGGTCCTGCAGCATCAGCACTCCCTGAAACAGAGAATTTCAGTGTTATCCCGTCCAACGTCTTCTCGAGGCCTCTGTTTGTCCCGTAAACTTCCTTCTTGGTTGACGAAATTATAGTTTCTCTACTTCATAGCTTTCTGTCTCGAGCGAACGGTGATATACAATAAAGCCTCGTGGGCTTGTATATTAAACGTGGGCCATTCCACACCGCTTGCAGACCGACTGTTCATGCGCGACTTTACGCGGATAATCGAACGAATTGCCAGTTCCGGTAAAGAAAGTGCAGGCAAGCAACGCAACGATCACTTGCGCGTGTAAACTTTTTTTTTATGTGAATTAAAAAAAAACAAAAAGAAAGAAAAAATTCGTGCATGTCTGGAGAGAGAGAGAGAGAGAGAGAGACTCCGCCAAAAGTAGTTTTAGTACAAATCGCATCAAGAACCAAGTGAAACAGGAAAGAAGCAAAGATATAAGTAGTAATGACAGAGAAGCGGATGGACGCGCGTATATAGCAAGATCGGCGCGGAAATGAACCGTCATGCCGGAAAATGCGATAAGACACGAGTCGAGAAACGATATAAAGACGACTGGAATGACCCTCCTCCGATCTTCATTGTTAGCCCACGATAGAGAGAGAGAGAGAGATAGAGAGAGATAGAGATTTTTTTATTTTGTTTTTTCGCTTTTTCTTTCTCTTTTACGACAGACAGAGGACAGGTAAAAGCACGCGCCGCGCAGTGAACGAACTTACGATGCCCGAGTATATATACATATATACATATATATATGTATATATATATATACACATATATATACATATATATATTACGCGAATACTTGCTTGCGAGCGAGTTATAAGAAAAGTCTGCAAAAATATCTGGGGATTCCTAGATAAATAATTAGGTACGGTAGATTGAAATATATTGATTTGAGGTGCACAGCCGTGGCCACGGGCAGGGCCAGAGGGCTGCGTTACCGTGCCTTGCCGCCACGGGGCAGTCGGTGGCACGCGTGCAACGCATCGGTTGGGAATCTGGATTGAACTTCTTTCTACCTGTTTCATCTCCATCCACCGTGCGGCCTCCTGAGTCGCGTTAAACTCGACGAATGCAAAACCTCGCGAAGCACCTATACAGAGCAAATACACACATATCCAGAGTTAATCCACGTTTTTGCCTGGGGTTCTCTACTCTGAGAGGGCAGGCAATCACAGCACCAACCATTGACAGACCGAGTTTCAAACGAAGTGTCTCTTCGCTTCGTCGCTTGCTTTCATATTCCATTTACCTAAATCTCAGCAGAACGAATTCTACAACACCGTGCGAGAGACCGCGGTACACCGGTCGTGAGCAAAAAAAAAAACCCAATTCCATTATGCGCAATTTAGCGTTATTCCGAATTATTTTTCTCAAACGCCCAGAGAGATCTAGCCGGAGCCAAATTTTTGTTGTCTTTTTTTCCTGGTCTTCTGAATAACCTTCTTTGTCACGTCAAATCGGATGAGAGGACGATGTTCACGAAAGAGAGAAAGAGAAACGCCGGTAAGAAAAACAGACCCCGAGCGTGTGAAAATTGTATCGCAATTGATCGTATTTGCATATGCGTAGTCTCTGTAGTAATAGCGGATTAAATTAAAGATTAACACAAGAAAGAGAGAGAAAGAGATTACTTTAGCAGCGGCGCAAGACCATCTTCGTTCTGCTTAGAATATGAAGCTTCACGGTCGAAATGAGGAAAATTCAAGCCTGTAAGTCTTTAAGAAGTTCATCGTTCAACAGGCTCGACACCTGCTTCTTAAAGCATTCAATCTTGAATCTTCTGTACTCACTTCACTTTGAGACTTCATATCACAAGAGGAACAATAATAGGGTTGTACCGCTATTAAAGTAATGTCTTTGATGGATGTGACGTCTTAAAGTAAAGCGCAAGAGTACACTAACCGAAGGATTGTCATGTATTCCTGTATAATTGTATGTTACATCATTGGTAAAGATCAAGAGAGAGTTTGTGTCACTAACATGTGTGTAAAAAGGTGTGATTGGTTAGTAGATAATTTTCTTTTTTTTTTTTTTTAGAATTACACGCACTGTCGAGTGTAAGCTTAATTTAAGCTCCCATTAAGCTATCTCTCATGCAGCTTTGGCAAGTAACCTAACGTTGTGTTCTCCTCTCAAAATTCTCCTCGCATTATCTTCGCGAACTTACCTTCCATCAATGAACAATTAACGGTCGGCGCACACATTCGAACTAATAAAATTCTACGAATTTTGAGAGATGTATGTATCGATATCAGAATGTTACCAATGGAAATTCTTAGAGCTACACGATATCATAATAGGATGTGAAAGATTTCTTGAAATTTCTCAACCCGAAAACCCCTGATGCGCTTCGTTCTCGTCAGAGATCCGTATGGATATTTCAAGCAATCTCTCGCACGTACTATTTGTGCGAACTCAGTAGTAGAAGCTAACGATCGTACAAATTCGACGGCACGCAATAATATATCACCAAGTAACAATCAGCTGATACGCAAGATAGGCACATCGGATATTTAAAGCTTTCAACGTGTCACAATAGTTACCTGTATCTTTTTTCCGAATCAGCCTTATGTCCTTGGGCATGAGACCACAGTTGAGGATGTCTTGCCGCACCTGTGATACACACATCAGAATAATAATAGTAAAGCGTGCTCGGTAACGCCTGCTCTCACGAGTGGCCACTATATGTCAGGCCACAAAGTTGACAACCTACGTCATTCTCAGTAATGTGTTGAGCAAGTCCACGTATCATTATGGTGTTGTTAGGAGATTGCGATTTGTAGTGGATCCCCTCCATGGACGAGCTATAAGCGCGACCATGGTCGTGCTCAAAGTCCAAACTTTCCCGGCTATGATCGTCATCGCGATCTCGATCCCGCTCCCGATCCGATTTCCCCCTCCGATCCCTATCCCGATCCCGATCCCTGTCGCGTCTAGAACGATCTCTATCCCGATCTCTGTCCCTATCCCTGTCCCTGTCCCTCTCCACAGAGTCTCTATCACGTTGCCGTCCGTAACGATCCTCGCGGTCTCTATAGCTGCGATCGCGCTCATCTCTGCTACGATCTCTCCTATCCCGCGAACGATCCCTCTCGCGGTCCCTGTCTCTTCCACGGTGGTTTCTGTATTCCGGACTACGATGGTCTCTATCGCGATGGTCGACGTCGCGGTGTTCTGTGTATTCCGGAGATCTGTTGCTCCCATAGTCACTACGGTAGTCGTAGTCGGAATTGTGGCTTCTTCTTTCCGGCCCATAGCCAGGCTCCCAGGGGTCGATGTTGCCGCTGTACATATTGTACACAAGTATGTATTCGATCCCTGAAAGGAAACAAAACAATTGTTTCTTCATACCGTTCAACATATACCGATATATATAAAAACAGATAATAGCTCGGATGCAATTTAAATTTGACACAGTGGATCTTATCTTTGCAGCATCGAGTTTTAATTGTAAATTTCCTTCATTACGTTTGGATCATTTATTCATGCGTCTCTCCCCTCCACCGGTGACTTAGGGAAAACGAGTTATTGTGCGCGTATCGATTAAAAATTATCACAACGTGCATGTAATAACTGTTAACGAGTGGATATATTTTTATAGCCGCGTCTTCAATGACTCGAGACAAAGAGTCCTTTGCCCGAGAATCGTGGCTACCGGCAGGATACTCGAAAAAAGAAGAAAAAGGGGGATCGATTCCATGCAGCTTTTATGCATCGTGCCGATAATGCGCTTTGTAATGCAGAGAACGCGTTATTTCACCGGAAGAAGCGGGGCTATGCGAGCCGGCGATCCTTTCCTGCGTCAAATAATGCGTCCCGATTGGAAACACGTTTTTGCGTACAAAGGAGTATGTTTCGGCGAGATTGCAACGCGGAATCTTTATTACGATCGAGAGCGCGCGCGAATGGCCGTGACGTTGTGGAGAAAACATTACCCGTTGCAGTAGCGAACCGTTGAGCAGCGAACTCTCAGCCAGGCGATGAGATCGGCGAGGAGAGCCGCGACACTCAGTGCACTTCACTCAACTGCGAGAAACGCTCGAGATGAATCGATGATAACTCTAATCCACGATGCGCACAATGGCGTGACTCCTCGATGGCTTCGTGAAATATGGCGAAGCTCGCTGAGAACAAGCCAAGACCGTTACGTGTACCCGAAGCTTCTCGAGCACCAACTGCGCAGAAATGGTGGCGCGCTTGTCCTTGTGGCGCCTTAACACCTCGTATCGGACTGCTATTGGTCACTGAGAATTGCGGCTTGGACCAATCAGCGTTTGAATTGTGAATGGAATCGCGATTACAGAGTTGGCATACAGCGACATCTCGTTCGCCGACCTTCGTAATTTTTTCTCCACTGTGAGCCAAGTTCCGTCAGTTTCGTCGAATAAATCGGAGAAATGGCTACTCGTCTGTTAAAAATTAGTAGCGCGCTACGCACATATAGCAATAAGACCAGCCTGGTTAAGGTAAAGCGGATTGTACCCTCATGACGTGTGATCATTTTGGTAAAATGACCGTGTCCTCACGACCGATCCACTCGTGAATTTCGCTCTCGAGGCAGTAGTGAGATATGTCAGCTGCATTGGCTCCTTACGTAATAAGAATAAAATAATAGCTTTAGGACATGTAACATGCGAGAACGACGTGAGTGACTGACAATTTAAGTTATTCGTAACAAAGCGAAACCGATCAATACCCGTTTGAGTGCTTACATCGGTTTATAACCTCAATGTAACTCCATATGCCCAATCTCAATCGACTTCGTGTTATATTTTTGACAGACCTGATTTAATGTTTGATATTCAATACGAGAAAAAATAAATTTAACAGATGTACATGTACATCTTGTTATTGATTAATAGAACTTCATTTCACTACGAATCGAGCCTTGACAAATTGTACATTTTCAATTAGAGATTCATATTGATTCCAATAACTCTCTCATAGGTACCAAAACAATGGCGTTCTACCGCTGCTTCTCTGAGGGAAGCACTCATCAATCAACCAGCTACCAGAGTTACAACTTTGGACAGTGGAATGAGAGTTGCCAGTGAAGATAGTGGAGCTGCAACAGCTACTGTTGGTCTTTGGATTGATTCTGGTAGCCGATATGAGACAGATGAGAACAATGGTGTCGCTCATTTCATGGAACATATGGCTTTTAAGGTAGACTATATAGCATCACTTGTGAGAGAATTGTTTCTAATTACATTCTAAATTATGTGATATATTAAGTTGCACGCACTATTCTGTTTATAACTCAGATAGAATGTTCGAACTTTGACATAGGTTGTGTTTCGATATTCATTGTCAGTACTGAAAATCTATAATACACGTAAACTATAGATTTTTAGTACTAACAATGAGTTTCAAAACACACTTATAGAATATGTGCAAACAATGTTTTGTATATCATATAGTTTTTATATAGAATCTTGTATATTTAATTTTGTTGTAATTAGTACAATCATTCATTGCACATATTCTCTATCAATACAGACGAATTGTTTCTTTGACAGGGAACCACCAAACGTTCTCAAACCGATTTGGAACTGGAAATAGAGAACATGGGAGCTCATTTGAACGCTTATACAAGTCGAGAACAAACAGTATTTTATGCGAAATGCTTGTCGCAAGACGTGCCGAAAGCTATTGAGATTCTGAGTGATATTATCCAAAATTCTAAATTAGGTGAAAATGAGATTGAAAGGGAACGCGGTGTTATCTTGCGCGAGATGCAGGAGGTCGAGACAAATCTGCAAGAGGTTGTATTTGATCATTTGCACGCCGCTGCCTATCAAGGCACAACCTTAGGACGAACAATACTGGGCCCTACTAAGAATATCAAAAGTATTACTCGAGATGATCTTGTTCAATACGTGAAGAATCACTATGGGCCACCTAGGTAAAATTCTAGTTATTTATTCGATTGTTGGATTATATCTTCAGGTAGAATGAAACACTGTCGGAAGACTTTTGAAAGGACTGATTGTGATGTGATTTTCTTGTTGTAGATTCGTGCTGGCCGGTGCCGGTGGTGTACATCACAACCAATTAATCGAACTTGCCGAAAAGCATTTCGGTCAAATGAAAGGACCGAGCTACGATAAAATTCCGGATTATGTCCTATCTTGTCGTTACACCGGCTCTGAAATAAGGTTCCGCGATGATACGATTCCTCTCGCCCATATTGCGATCGCTGTTGAAGGTATTTAGAGAATCCTATACGAGGCGAATTAAACGTAATGCTTTGTATAGTAATCAACAAGCATATTTTGGTGTAAGGTGCTGGATGGCCTGATGCAGACAACATTCCTCTTATGGTCGCGAATACCCTTATGGGAGCGTGGGATCGTAGTCAAGGCGGGGGTGTAAATAACGCGAGCAGTCTAGCCAAAGCTTGCGCAGAGGAAGGCTTGTGTCACAGCTATCAAAGTTTTAATACATGCTACAAGGTATGTATTGGATGATCGTTATTATTTGTGTAAAACAACATACATTTATAATGATTTGTAATGTGATCGATACGTATCAAGAAAAATGTGCAATTCTTTGGTTTTATAGGATACTGGTCTCTGGGGTGTATACTTCGTTTGTGATCCTTTGAAGTGCGATGATATGGCGAGTCAAATTCAGCACGAATGGATGAGGCTGTGCACATCAGTTACTGAGAAGGACGTGGCACGCGCTAAGAATATTCTCAAAACTAACATGTGTCTGCAATTGGATGGCACTACCGCAATTTGCGAAGATATTGGCCGCCAGATGTTATGTTATAATCGCCGTATCCCACTTCACGAACTCGAGATGAGGATAGATGTACGTAGTTTAAATTACTCGCCTCAAGGGCTTGTGTAAAGCGAGTGGATAGGGTTCATTATAATAATATGTATTTCTTACAGAAGATATATAATATAAATTAATAGATTATTGTATGATTTATTTTTTTTCAGAGTGTAACTGCCCAAACTATTCATGATGTTGGTATGAAGTATATTTTCGATCACTGCCCAGTAATCGCTGCAGTTGGACCCATTGAAAATTTGCTAGATTATAACGTCATCCGTTCCGGCATGTATTGGCTCAGAGTATAATCATCCTCAAGCACTAATTATCGATCAGTTTTAGCACACCGATTAGAAATAAAATAAAACTACAATGTGCATATATCTAATAACGATATAATTCATGTTTTCTCCCATATGAGTTGTAGTTTTATTTTGAAATACATTTACGAAGTGAATGTTCGTCGATGTATACTACCTGGCAAAATAAACATACATACGTCGAAAATACGTTTCGAATAGTTATTTAATAAGATGTTTGCATACACGGTACAAAAATGTTATACGCAATGTGTGAAGATCCAATCGCGTTTGTCATTGAGTTAACTGTTCGAAAATAAGAGTTCATCTGATTCATCGTTAAATCGTACTACTTAAAAGTAAAAATATTTTCAAGTTTGAAATGATTTTTTAATTATTTGTCAAAATTGCGCATATATTTAAGCAATAAATAATCAGGAATATTTATTTATTTACACAATACATAACAATTTGTTATGAAAATCTCACATATATAGCATATAAAGGAAATAGAATATTTCAAGATTTATATTTGTACTTCTGCGGTAGACTGTATTTGACATGGACAGTATTATGGTCGCTTTAAACGTATCCTTTGTAAATATGCTAAAAGCAAACTTTACAAACCGCAAAATTACAAAATATTTATACTCATACAAAAAATGATTATTGTTTATGTATCATACAAAAGTTGATTACTACTTACTTAGTATAATAAGCTTTGGCATAGATGACATTTTTCAGATCTGACATAAAGAGCGAGATTTCTACATTTATAAAGTATAAACTTCGATCAAGCACAAATTATATTAAAAAAATACGCATATATCTTCCTTTATCAAATATCGATTGATGAGAGTAACTTCATTGTGTAAATAGA